ATTTCAGACTTCACTTGAAAGTGATCTGAATTCTGTGAATGCTGTATTGTCATCTTTGCATAATGCATCTACTCAACCAAACTCTCAAGGATTATGTGAAGCCTTCATACAAACAGAGGACATTACATTATCACCTCTCTTAAGTTTCAGTGACTTTGATGGTTTCTTAAAAAAAATTCTGAATGGTGAGAATGAACATTTTTATGTAGCAGAAGATAAAGAGATTCAGTGTGATATGAACAGAGAGAAAAACTTCTTCACTTTCCTTACCCAGAATTCTGTGGACACAACAGAGCTGGCCTCTGTCCCACAGAGTCGTAGAACCTCGGTCACATTCGCTTCTCCTGTAGCAAGCATTGTGGAGAAGTCCAACAGCTGTAGCAGTCAGGATAGCAGCAGCTGTGTGAGCACTGAAGTACAGACGGACGAGGACTATAGCTGTACATGTGGGGTCCGCAGGAGGAACTCGGGGGAGCAGAGCAGTGGCAAGTCCTTCCTGGGGCTCACTGAGGGGTCCTACAATGTCAAAAATGAGGCAAATTTCTCCAGAATTTTCTCTTCAAGTTTCTGTGACAGTGTTTCTGAAGAGCAGATGAATGGGAGAATACAGAACAAGTGTCTGTCGCCTGACAGTTCTAAGTACACTCCCCTGGAGGTCACGCTTGATAGGTTAGAAAGCAAGGCTCAGCACTGGAAGACTGTGATATCCCAAAAACATTAGAAAAATTTTTAAAAATAATTTAATTGAGTAAACTGTATTTTTAATTAAGCAAACTGTATTGTTTTTATACCAGTAAGCATGTTGAGCATATTTGGTAACATTCAATCTATTGACTCATAAATGATTAATGAAAAGGTGATAACTGTGATTTCTTAGAAGAAGGCATTGAATAACTTTTTTTTTACTTTATATGGAAATTAAGCATACAGGTTATGTTAAAAACTATTTTGTGAATTGCATAAATGTAAAGTAAATGTGCTTCAAGCAGGAAGAAATATAAAGTTTCTTAACCTCTAGGTTAAACCAGTAGTGAATCAATACCTGCTAGATGTTGTGGATGCCCATTATCATTACTGGGTATAGGATGTCAAGTGGACATTAGAAAATGTAACTCTGTCAATAAGAGCACTAGAATGTCAGTCAGGGGCTGGAAACAAATATTTTCATTATTGAATCATTTGCTTCACTGACTTACCTAATATTTTTTTAATAGTGCAGGTCACTACTCTGTTTTCTGTTAATTATACATAAATTAGCCATTTTAATTTGATTTTTACTTTGCTGAAGTTATGTCATTGATAAAATATAATATGTTTTTGCACATGACTATGTAGGTTGATATTCATTTGGTGAAACTTGTTACAAGTTGCATTTTGAATTTGAATAAATGAGACTGGTTAATAGAAAAGAATTGTTTATATTAATGCGAATTGAATGGCAGTGGTGGTCTGATTGCTGGAAGTCACAGAAAGCTTGGTTGGTAGAGCACCTGTCTAGTGAGTGATTCAGGGGGCCTGGGTTTGAATCCTTGTCTTGTCTGTGGCATTTTCTCCCTCTCCAGTTACATTTAGTTGGTACCATGCTTTGATGACAGGTGAAAGACTTGCCAAGGAAAGGTCTGGGTTGTTGTCTTCAAGGACAAAGACCTTTCAAGAGGAAGCAATGTGGCGGTCAGAGAAATTAAACTACAGTCAGAAAGTTCAGAGCACCTGACTAGTCATCCTGGGTCTGGGTTCTATCCCCAGTCTGGTCCTTCACATTTTCTCTTTTCCTGTTAGACAGTTCAGAGGCTTGTTTCTTGTCAATTGTTGGTGTTGCTATTAATTTTTTTATTATGTAAGACCTATTATTTGTTCTCATCAGATGTTTTACTAGGTGTGCACTAGAAGATCCATTCAGATTATAATATTGGACTAATAGATATTGTATTTCTTACATACATGAAAGGAAAATCTGACACATTCTCATCCGCAAAAACAAATGATTTTATGAAAATGGTAGCAGTAGGACTCGTAATATTGTATAATAATGTCATAGATATACACGTTCTGACTTAAAATATTTCACCAGTTCTAACTCATAAGGAACCTTCATCCTTATCGTCATTGATTATCTAATTCAAGATACTAAACAACATGTTATTATTGAAAGAGCACGTCTTACGTTCAGATGCTGAATGGTTTTCACGTCATAGGTATCATGAAGTTTTTATAATTGACGTATGTACAGGAAATAACATTAAGAAAAGTGAAAATTAAATGCCAAATCCTAAAAATATAATTCATTTGATTTCATTGTAAACGTGATATCCATGGCAACAAGAAATCACTGGAGTACCCACGTCTATATGTTTTACGAATGACTTGGAGATCATATGGTGATCTCAAATGTCCTCGTGATGACACGGCACGAGTTTAGTAATGATAAATGACCAAGTCCTAAAGTGATTATTAATTTAATAGCCATCATACACGAAACGAAACAATATTTGTAGCTAATTCTAATCTTTAAAACTAGAGATTGAAGATCTGGAGGTTCTTTGAGTTTCCTATGGCTGAATGGTTACAGATATTTGTAACAATTGCAGTTCTGAAGAAAAAACAAAGACCTATAGAAGTCTGATTTGTGTATGGAATGCTAGTGTAGTCTGGCTGCAACATAAGTGTTATGTGTCCTGTTGACAGACCATATCATTGTCTTTTGGTCTGCTTCAGTGAACAATGAAAGATTGATTACAAGATACAGTTTTTAAATTGTCCATAAAAATGACTATGTACCAGGGTTATTGGTGTGAAATAAAGGGATACTGTGTGAAGAAAAGGGATAGGGTGTTCTGCCTTTTCTGTAAATCATTTAAACAGGGTGATTCTGTGATCGAAATTAAAATTGTAAAGTTAAAGGCATGTTGTGTCTAGTTAGCTCTTGCTGGCCAGTTAATGCCTTTCTCAACACAGGGTTAAGATCTGTACCCAGAAATGGCAGTGTGTGTTGGCTGTGGAGTCTTTGCTGAGGGTACATCTTGTCCGGGAGGCTTATCTAAGGAGAGATGGATTTCAGTGTCTTTACCCTAATCTACTCGTCAATAGACCCGTCTGTACATTCAAACTATTGGATCTAACATATTAAATTTTTCTGTGTATGTTCTTTGATAAAAGGGATTTTCATTGGAACATTCATAGAAGTCCTTTTCTTAAGGATCTTCTGATTAAAAGTGTGTCTTGGAGAAAAACTTTGTTTAACACTGACATATGGTTTGTCACTGTCAAAAATGTTATTGGATTATAGTGAAGTTTGAGTGATGTAGAGTGTACTTAAGTAAATCCTCTTTTTTGTAAAAATTCTGGAATTTCAAGAATGGAAATTCAAGCAAATAAATCAGCAGAAGAGTTCTTAACCACTCTAAAACAGTCTTTAAAACGGATGCAAAACATTCGACAGGCGGAACAAACCATTCGTTTGAGATTCCGCAGCTCTTCTTTGGCCGATCTCACAAAAATTGGCAGGTAAGACAACTTTGTCCTCAACCATCCAGCAAGGTACCTTAACTGTTCTCTATAATGTCACATCCATAGATTGACAGGTAAGGTCTTCCCACGGATATTTAATTCCTAGCTTCTAAAGACCAGTGTAGGAGTATGGGAGAGACAATAGGAATGAATTGTCATGCTTTCTGCATAGAGCTGTCAGAATATGCCAGTATTGTATTAGTATGAGGAATGGGTGTAGAATCTGTCAGAATCAAAGAGAAGTTGTTGCGAAACACAGGCAACAAATAAATTGTTGAATAACCAGAATGATTCAACAATTTTTGGCTTTATATAACTGAGCATGAAAAACAGTCTGAAATGATATTAGGATGTTTGCACTATGCACACTTGCATGAATATGTCATTATGCAGTTTCTTGTAAAGTACTTTCAATTGTAAGATTTGCAATTGTTGTTAATATACATTTTAGTGTTACGGTAGCTAGTGTGCTTATTACAGTAATAACTGCTTTCCAGAATGTTAAGTTACAAAAAAGCAATAAGAACTTGTTGTGAATTCTGTGTACAACATTTCAGAGGGCAGAGATCTTGTTATAGCTAAAATGACAGGACTATAGACCAAACTGTTTGAGTAAAATTGATTTGAGGTAGCTGACATTTACACAGATACCTTGGAAACGTGGTCTGAACTTGGTATTCGAGCTTAAGATAATGTTGAAATAATGGATACAGGTGTTTATAGTAGTCCTTGTGCATTTAATATATGGAACAAATTGAAATTGAAGGCTCAGGTGGTGCAATTTGCTTCTTATATTTGATGTGAATTCCCAACCAATTTATACATAGTTACATGTATATGCACAAAGAAAAATCAATTGCTTGAAAAGTGAACATTCTGACATATTGAGATGTGCATACAGTGTAGTTATATGTATAATACTACAATATAGATTTACCCTGAATGGTTATTTGAAATAATGAGAGGAGACCGCAATATCATTTTTATACATATATACTGGACATAAGATGACTCTTCATTGCTTCAATTTTCACCCACTGTATATTACTATGCTGGAAGCTAAACAGATTTCACCGAGACATGATTTTGATTAAATATCGAATCTCTCTGCTAACCTATTCTTCACTTCGTCACCAATATAATACAACATCCCAGAATTCTATCCTATCAACCTGAAACTCTAGCATGGCCCCAATGATTAGATGGATTTAACAGATAGTCATTTAAATATCACAGGTTGTCTATACCGGCAAAGTCTGTATCTCATGAATTCCTCTGTATAGGTATACTAATTAAAAACCCATACAAGACAATGCATACTCGATGATTTGATTCGTTGACTCAGTGTATATATCCTTTGGGAAGCAAGTGTAGATATGCTCTTTAGAGGTTACAGGTGCATTCAGCAGATTTCCCACATTAGTATATATAAGAATTGATTTGTCACAGCATGAATAATTGACAGATATTAACACGGTTTAATTTGTTTGTAGACCCGTCTCCAAGAAGGTTGACAGACCCAATGCCAGGATGGACCGAGAGGAACTGGCTCAGGAATCCGCCAGAATTCAGAAAGAGATGGACGAGAGAAAGACTCGTGATCACGTCTCCCGCAGGGACGAAAAGTCCCCCACCCGTACTGCCATGAGTTTATCCACCTCAGCCATGAACAGAGTAAGTACTAGGATAATCTTTGTTTTGTTGGTGGCATTAAATTTAGATCTTTGATGAACTTTAAACATGTCATCATATAAAAATGTTACAGTTACAATATTTAATATTTTGAGCAACTTTCTTACATATGTACATAATTATGCTCTGCTGGGTACATTGGAAATATGCAATATAATTCAGCTATATAAAAGTTTTGTTTTTCACTTTTTTTGTTGAAGTTCCATGCATCTAGAAGTATTAATTCATAAAACATTACAAGAGTTGATGAGTGCAGAAACCAGGGATGCTTAGATCTCAATATTCTCACTATGATCACAACTTGTGTAACTATAAGCTTTGTTCAGAACTCTGTTTAATTGTGTTTTCTCCTTACAGTTTCCTTCCTATGAAGAGCTGAGATCACAGCTACCTCCAGGATGTCCGGACCCCCTGACTGGACGATTCAGCCCCTCCCCTCAGGATAGAGTGAGTTCCTCCTCTCCCCCTCCCAAACAGAAGTCTGATTCTGTCCAGCCGCCCGAGCTATACGGTCAGCCTAGTTCTCCCCGGGACCTACACAGGAGGTCTGTTTCTCCTACAGAAAGGAGCAGGAAGTACTCAGATGTACAGAATCCCAGCACACGGAGCTACTCTCCCAACAGAATACCAGACGTTCAGTAAGATTCACCTCAAATCTGTATTAATAAGAGCTGATGATTGAAGTATTTTGCATCTTAAAAAGGAGAAAAATTTAAAATAATATAAAATTACAAAAGTAAAGATATTTTGTATAATGTTGCATTATTTCTTGGGATCAGTCTTGTTTTGCATCATCTTGTCATGCTCTTATGACTTTAACACATTTCATCAATAGATTGGATTCACCAACTATGACAAGTTCTCCAAGAGAAAAGAAATCTTCTCAAACACCAGACAGAACAGAACCATGTGTAGAAAATCCTCGCGAGCAAGAAAGAAGTCGGCAAGTGACACGACCCAAAACACAGAAACCAATAGACAGATACGATGACCAGGACAGTGATTTCAGTGATGTGATTGACAGTTCCCTGTATGACAGGACTGCCCCTAGTCAGACTTTTAACCCCATTACCAGTTCCCCTATAGACAGAGGGAGGACCAGGAGTCGTAGGTCTAATGATTACGAGGGCCAGCCCACCAGTAGGAGTCTCTCGGAGAGGCCATTCTACGGTCGTTCTTCGTACGACCATGAGAGGAGCCAGATGTCACCAGAGAGGCCTCATGTTTCACAGGAAATTCCTGATGTTTCTTTGGGAAGAATAAGTCCTATTCTCAATGGAAGGGGTTCACCAAGAGCTACTGAAGAAAAACTGGTGAGAGAGAAAGAAAAGAGGAAGTTTTCTACAAAGTATTTTGAAGAAAGTTAATAGTAATTTTTTTTCAAATTGAATGTCTTCATAACATGCACTGTCTCTTTGCAGTCTGTTTCATTCCAAGATTTCCCACCACCAGCACAGGATGATGGTAGAAGTGTGAGTAGCGAGGCTTTCTGATTTACATTTTCATGTACATATTCATGCTGTTTTTATATTGTCCAATTTGCTAATGTCAAGATCTTCTCTTTTCAGTCCCCCTCATATCTAGATCTGGCTTACAACAAGGAGAGGCCATCGTTTAGATCAGAGTGGATTGCCAGAGGAGTACCTTCTAGAGTAAGAAATAAAGTATTAACTAACTCTTAATGAAAATGTGTATCATTACAAGATGCTGTATTTAATAAAATTTAAGTTAAGGTCATTTTGCAGTGAAGATACTATATGCAGCTGTATAGAAATACTTCTGTATTGTATCTTTGATATTTTTCAAAGCTAAGATTAAGATTAAGTTTGTGTTTATAGTCAGAAAGTGAAAGTGAACCAAAGTCCTTGAAGAGAGCACTGCTGGATGTTAGAACTGCAGAGAAACAACTGAAGGAAATTAAAGCCCTGACTGAGGATGCCAGGTAAGTGATTGAACTTTCTTCCCTTTAACTGTTGTGATGAATTGTTTTCTTCTGTGTTGAAATGACAAATCTTTAATCCTGATGCTCGTGTTTATAGATGGACTGTCTTAATAATACTCCTTTTGTTTCATGTTTTTTACAGGACACAGTTGATGCTGACAGAATTTAAGAGAGACAACAAGCAGAGAGATTATGAGAGGATGAGTGAAGATTTAAACAGGAGAAAGCGGGAACTGAAAGGGTATGAGGACCAGCTAAGGTCAAGGACAGGTGATATTCTACAGATGGACCAGTCTCATCTTGGGGATAAGGTCAGTAATAAACATAGAACAAAGGGTTGACTACTTAGAGCTACATTGTTTTATACATACTGTATTCAATTTTGTTGTTGGTTTTCATTACAGTTTTATTTTTGCTGTTTTGTGGTAGGATAAAACAAGCTAATCTAAAAGTAAATGCATATTCAACATGTTCAAAAGAAAATATTAATATTCAGGTACTCTAACATAAATAAAGAAAAAAATTAAGAGAAGAGAAATCTAGACTATTAATGACAAATTTTGTTTTTTTCTTTACAGACTCTTGCCCTTATCCAGGAGAATGAGAGTCTGAAACATCGACTAAGACAGGCTGATGGACTCGAGTTAGAGAGAGATGAACTCGTCAGACAGCTCGAGATGGCAAAGGAAGACCTCTTCAATGAGCAGAAACAGGCCAGGCATAAGACTGAGGAACTCAAAGATGTAAGAGACTGTGTATCGGTATTACATTATAAGATAGGAGAAAATAGTATGACGCATGTTCATTTGCATAACTACATATTTTTCACATTGATTTGTTTGAATGTCAAATCCTGTCATTTAAAGGATTAAGGATTTGTGAATTATGGTAGAAATAAATGTAACATCAAGTTTAAATGTTCATTTTACAGGAGATAGAGAATTTAGCGAGTCAGTTGGAGGAGAGTAGAGGTCCCTACCCTGTGGTGGACACCCAGAAAGTATGGGAACTGGAGGAGGCACTGAGAAGGGTGGAGAAGGAGAAGACAAGTCTTATCAGGGTAGGCAGGGGGCAGAGTTGTCTTTCCTTTCATGTACTAACTCATAAGATTCTTAATATATATGGAATAATTCCATGAATTCAGTGACACTGTCACAGCGATTATAAAACATATAATATATGTAAATGTACTTTTGCAAAATACTGTAACTCTTCAACAATAAATTAAACAAATAAGAAGGAGAACAGTAGAACAAAAACAGAACATTAAAAATGAACAAATTTACTGTAACCTCTTAAAATTTTAAAAATAGGACAAAGCTAGTCTGTATGAAGAACTTCAGGGAATGTCCAAAACAACCAAATCTGAGTACCAACCGAGGTCTGGGAAGGCTGAGGAGCTGAGAGCTCAGCTAGACAAGGTCTGTGTGGAGCTGGCCGACGTCAAGGAGAAGAACTCAAAGATGGAGGAAACCAATGGACGACTCAGGTATTTGTCAACTTGATTAATAAATTGTAAGATTTTTGGAATAAGTTCTGTTAGATTTTCAAAAAAAAAAGACCTTATGTTTGGGAAAAAAAATTACTGTATTAATTAAGCAGTTTTTTCCTGATATTTGAATCTCAAAACGTGTAATTAAAACTTATAGGGAGCAGATCGGAGAATTGAAGAGACAGCTGGAAAGAGAGAAAACACTGAAAGATGGGCTATTGGATGATCATAAAAGGACCCTTCAAACTCTCAGGAAAGAAATGGTAAAAAAGGAAAAATGTATATCAGTGAAGGAAAATGAGAGCACATGTGGGTGCACAATGTTCCCATTTATCTTATTCCAAATTTATTTCTACAGGACACTGCTATGGGACAGATGAGAGAGAATTTGTTCTTAGAGAAACAGAAAGCTATTGAGAACATCAGGGAAGATGTTGACAAGGGAAGGTCAAGGACAGAGGAACGCCTCCAGCGGGCCACGGCAGATCACCAAAAAATCCTCAAGGTACGCCAACCAATAGAAAGCAATCTGATTACATCATCAAAATAATAAATAAGATGGAAATTACTTCTTGTGGTGGATAATGCATCATGGCTTGCTTTTCTTTATTTGACAGTATATAAAGGTAAAAAATACATACATTAATAAGGAATTTATAATCTGCAATTAACTGTAAGCATTATATCTTGTATTTTACTAAACTCTTGTAATTTTTATTTTTGCACTTAATATTAAAGGATTCATTGTCTCCTATATAACACAAAACGTCTATAAAAATATTCATTTTATCTAGGATACCTCTCTAAATGCCATTAATTTAAAATATATAAAAATTTCATGACTAGCGCCATAAAATTCTTTTGCTAACATTTGAAAATTGTTTTTGTCATCATCTTTTTTGTACAAAAAAACAAATATTTTACAGTTGTTTAAATGAATGTAGTAAAGTTTTTCAAAATGGTACTCATTTCATAGTACATATACCTGTATGTAAACTATTTTGATATGAACAACATCCAAAAACTTTGAATGCATCTTTCAGGTATATGCTGGGACACTCATTTAATGTTATTATATTTCATTATTTATCTCTAACTCAGTATGTAAATTTTAAATGGACTATTCAAACATCACCTAGGAAATCTGCATCATTGGAAATGAGACATTTTAAAATATCTTTCCATAAAATTCATTTCTATAAATTTAAAGGTTTTCAAAGTATGGAGTCAAAATGTTATGATTTTTTTTTAGCAAAAGGAAGAGGAACCAAAATTAATGTCCAGTTGATAGAAGGTGGTAGTCAAATAATGGTTTAAATGGTTTTAGCAATAGGTCACTCCAAAAAAACCAAAATACTAGTATGACACAGAACAAAAGGTCTGATTTTGTATATATCCATTTGCCTAATATACATTTTCTGTTTTATGGCATTGTAAAGTCACAAAAACAAGACGGGTTGAAGTACTTACTCCGCTCTATGGAATCTCATCAAAATAAGTGTACGCGGTGTAATATTCACACATGAAAAATAATGTTTGTGTGTCGGACATCCATGAAATAAATGTAGCTGTAGCTAGTGCCGGGTGGTCATATAATGTCGTTTTTATTTTATAATCTTTGGGAAATAATGAATGTATCAAGGTAAAATTTTCAACATTTCTTCATTTTTTTTGTTTTATGTTCCTTATAAATTTTGTAAGCTTTGACAGGAGAGAGAGCAGCTAGACTTTTTGATAAGTATATAAAGTCATTTCATGATGAGGGAGGTGGAACAAAAAGAGCTAACATATGAAAATTGTTTTTGTCAGATCTTTTGTAAAAAAAAAATATTTTACAGTTGTTTTGCATGTATAATCAAAATACACTCATTTCATAGTACATATACCTGTATGTACAAGATTTTTTTATGAACAACTCACACTTTGAATGCATCTTTCACTCTTACTCACTCACTCATTTAATGTTATTATATTTCATTATTTATCTCTAACTCAGTATGAAATAAATGACTACATCACTGGAAATCTGCATCATTGGAAATGAGACATTTTAAAATATCTTTCCATAAAATTCATTTCTATAAATTCAAAGGTTTTCAAATTATGGAGTCAAAATGTTATAAATTTTTTTTAGCAAAAGGAAGAGGAGATAACTCAGTTGATAGAAGTGGTAGGGAAACTGGAAAAGGACAGGTCACTCCTGGAACGAAGAATCAAGGACGACACAGAACAAAAGGTCTGATTTTTTACTTACTTCTTTGGCCTTTAACATTTTCTCAGTTTTATTGCTCTCAAATCAAAAAAACAAAAGTTCTATACAGTGTATTAAAATGGACTACGTTTTGAATGGAAGGCTACTAAGGACAGGGAATATTCACACATTTTATTATGTTTGTGTGCATTTTTCCATCATCCATGCAATAAATGTAGCTGCAGCTAGTGCATTTAAGGCCCTAAATTGTGTTTTTTTTTAAAAATCTCTTTGGTAATATCAAAGGTGTTTTCCTATAACCCTGATAGAAAGGAGAGAGAGCAGCTAAATAAAGGTACAGAGTATCTAACCCTGATGAAAGGAGCCAGTTAAATAAGAGAGTGTACAGACACTGAAGAACCTGGCTAACGAACTGGAACAGGAAAGGCAGCACAAACTAACCCTGATAGAAAGGATCAGCCAGATAAATTAGGTACAGTGTACTCATATTCACCCTGATAGAAAGGATTTGCCAGTTAAATAAGGTACAGTGTACTCCTACTAACCCTGATAGAAAAATAAAGTACAGTGTACTCCAACTAACCCTGATAGAAAGGACCATCCAGCTAAATAAGGTACAGTTTACTCCTACTAAACCTAATAGAAAGGATCAGCCAGCTAAATAAGGTACAAATGATACAAAAGATCAGCCAGCTAAATAAGGTACAGTGTACTCCTACTAACCCTGATAGAAAGGATAAGCCAGCTAAATAAGGTACAGTGTACTCCTACTAACCCTGATAGAAAGGATAAACCATCTAAATAAGGTACAGTGTACTCCTACTTACTCTGAGAGAAAGGATCAGCCAGCTAAATAAGGTACTGTGTTTTATCTCCCAGACTTCACAAAATCGGAGAACCCACAAGCTGAATCAAGTACGGGGTACCATATACCTTAATCCTCTCTTTTGCATAAACTATCTGCCAGCTGACTAAGGCATAGTGTATTCCTATCTGCTAATCCTCTCAAATTCAGAAAGCCAGAAGCTGCATTAGGTATTTAGGTAATGCCTTAATTAATAAGGTACAGCATACTCACATCCTTTAATTACTGGTATCTAAAAATCAGAGAATTAGCCAACTAAATTAAGTATCCATACCTCCAATTCTCTCCTCTGCATGAACATAATCTGTCACTAGCCATTAATATCCTACATCCCTCTCCTAAAATTCAGAAGATCAGCCAGATTAATGAGATAATTGCCAACTCTCTCTTTGATACCGAAGGAAGCATCAGTTAAATATTAGTGTAAAATCTTCATCCTCATCTGGAATGGTAAATATTAATTAGCTTATTTTTAGGTCACCTGAGTGAACTCAGGTGACCTATTTGTCCATTGTCGTGTGGTGTGTGTCATGTGTTAACATTTGAAAATTTTCAGCTTCTTCTCTGCAACCCCTCAATCAATTTTAACCAATTTTGGCACAAAGCATCTATGAGTGAAGGGGAACAAAATGTTGGAATTTCATGGTAGGGCAAAAACCACTAAAATTAATGCAATCTTTAAAAATCTTCTTCTTTACTCCTGCATGGACAAGGCGGTCCAACTGTTAGCATGAATGTATTTAAGCATTGAGTCCTCTACCAAAATTGTGAAATATGGCCCCAGGGTCAGGGCTTCTAGTGCTAATGGAGATGAAACAAAATAATTTAACCTGGTATAAACAGAGATGATGAATAATTGTTATACAGTGCTATAGGTTTAAACTTGGTTATCACTGAGCAGTTTTAAAGTGTACATTCTCTTCTTTGGGTATTGACTTAAAGATATATTTGTTTAGGGGAGAAAATGCTGATGTGGCAGTAAGCCTTCCATTCAGTTGAACTATTGATTGATTGCTGGCAGCAATAAACTTAAAGATAACAAAAACTGTGATCATTTATTCATGCATCTGTCTTCTCTCTTTGTACCTTGAATTGGCAGAAATGCTGAATTGTCAGTAGACATGTTTTTGGGGGATTTCTGCTATTCATGGTTTTATACAAACCTTTAAAGTTAATGGTAATTGCTCTGTTCTTATTATTCTTTCATTATAGCTGTGCACGGTTGGGATATAAAGTCTTTATAAATGTAAAATTACTGAGTTGATAGCAAAAAACATGAAGTGTGCTTGATTTATTGGGTCATTTATAACAGACTGATTTTTAGTAAAACTGTTCTTATTTTACTGTAATTGTCCTAAGAGCCAGTTTCTTGTGTTGAGGTAGAGTTCTGTTTGATTCTGTTGGGTTTGGTTAAATGAAGAAGGGTTGTAGTTGTTTTGTTTTTGATGTTCTGATTTGTTCTTGCATTTGTAGTTTCTTGAGATTTGAAAGAACATTACTACTTTTCTAGTTATTATAATAAATTCAATTTAGTTATACTTTCTACCTCCTTGGCATTTTCTGCTCTGTTCAGAATTATAGCAGCATGAAATAATGAAGACTTTTGAATTATCCTGTATATCTAATTATTCAGTCAATTTGAAAACTTGTTAATTTAAAGATGTCATTGTTATAAAAAATATACAAGTGTCACCTGTTTTTAAAAAATAACAAATTGTAGTTTTTAAATATTTGTTGTTCATGGTAATAAAGGATTGCAAAATAATCCAAAGGTTGTATTTTAATAATTTTAATAATCCAAAGGTTTTTGCAAATATTTATATTGCTAAATGATAAAGATTGCATTCTGCTGGCAATGTGTGGGCTTACACGGTCAAATATTTGATATACACATACACCTGTATTATAGATCTTTTCCCACTCATGGGGTTTTCATTTAATCTCGACAGAAAATTATTTGTATTGTTCCATGAATAAATTAAACACCTCTATCAGAATTCATTGAAATTAGAATGCTACCTTATAGAATTAAAAAGATTAAGGCACATACTTATTCTATGAATTTATCTTATCAGCAAAACAAATCTCTTCAGTTTATCACTTTCTAAATTGAAAAGTTTGTAGACTTTGTCTGTTCGTGGCTTGCCACTTGAAGCTTCCAGAGTTCTTGATTAAACATGTTTAGTTTGGCTTATTGTTTAACAGGTGGATCAGAAATTTTCATTTTTCATTATCACTGTATTGTTTGAGCAGATTAAGATGGGAAAAGAAATATGATCTTTGTATTTACCAAACAATGTATGTGTTAAACGGCTCAGTTGCTGTATTGTGAAAGTTCAAACATTATATATTTAACGACTTTTAATTCCACCAAGTTAAACAGCCCTAAGGCTTGCTCATAATTCAACCATAAAAGTGTAGATATTATTTTGGATTTTTTTTTTTTCATTTCAATCTCTTAAAGAGATCTTCAGTTTTGTGCAGCGTTTATATTAGAGTTTGATTGGATTATTGTGTCACCTATACTCTGTTGGTTTATTGCTATTGGCCTGGTATTGATTTTACGAGATGGAAAAGACTTTCAGGTGTTCCTGCATTTGATTATTAAATTCTGTAAAGGGACTGTGATCAGTCAAAAGAAACTGCCATTTCTTAATTACAATTCTACTTCGCACCTTTTTGTGGGTGTAAAAAATTAATTTTCTGGATAGTGAAATTTTTCTTTCCTACGATTCTTTGAATTTGGTGATCCTGCAGACCTTATAGGAGCTGGGATCTGTCTTTCATACTATTTAATAATGCATCAGTGTGTAAACTTATGGTGATTATAAATGACCCGTACATTTTCCAATAAAGTCTAGATGTCGTAAATCTAAATGTGTTGTAAATTTTATGCCCAATTTCCTGCAACATACTTCAGACGATATTTTAGGGTGGTGGTTTTTGTATCATAAAAATTTTGAGAAGAACAAAGTGTTTGTTGACAAGGGTAGTGTTGAAGTACCCCTTGCTCTTTTTCCAATGTGTTGAGACTATTTCGAGTGGTCTAACAGTTACTAGCTGGAATGGATTTGGATTATGACCAACTCAGGGGAATCAGAACAAGATTCACTAATTGTCTACATGTAAGTAAAAAAAAATTGTGTTTGATTAATTATCATATTTTAATTTATTTAATGGCCTAAAAAAATGAAAACATTCTGACTTGCTTAGTGTATAAGTGAAATAATTGAAGATAACAAACAGTATTCAAGCACAGAAGTCCATTTTGAAGCAGAGTAAACACAGACCTCTAAAGCATCATAGGTGGGATCAGATGGCATGGAGGAGTAAGCACCACCTGCTGACCTGTCACACCTGCCCCACTCCCTTTTTTCTTTATTTTTACAGAGAACTATTTTATCTACTATCTATGAAGACCTAAACATAATAATCACATGGAAAATTATTTTACAAGCCGAATGATTTTTTTTACCCAAATAGTTTATTACCATTGAAATTAATTTATCCAGAATGTAAAGTTTAATGGGCACTAACTTCAAGTTAATTTATTGAATCAATTAGACACTCTCAAGTGTAAAAGACATTAGTCAGACAATCGATATAGTAATTAACAGTGTAAAAAATCATTATAGTCAAAATTAATTAAGTTTGCGGAGATATAATTCTGTCTCAGTTTGCTTAACAGTTAGGGTGTGTTTGAAAAATTGATTTTGCATTGATTTTTTTGAACTGTCATTTTTCTCCTAAATTGAAGGTGTTTAGTGGTGATCTATATGCTGGGTTCAAGTCTGCTTGAGTTGTTTGCTATATAGTGTTCATTTGGTATCTACAATATGTATCATAAGGAAAATGTCTAATGTTCATTGCAAATGTGGTTTTATGCTGTAAAAATGGTTGCATTGTTTTGTTTACTTTAAAACATATTCCATTAGAAAGAATTATGTAAATACAAAAAATCTCCAAAAAAAATCTTGCAGTTTCATGCTCAGTTCTGTGTTGTAATCTAAGAGGATCGAACAGTGTAGAACTAGCATTCACATGTAGGCTTTATATGTATGTATGTATGTGTTAATTCAAAGACTGCTTTATGAATGTGAATGCTGTACTTGATTGAATATTTAATCTTTTGAATTTGTTCTCAAGTGCCATCATACATTAAAATGGTGTATTACACTGAGAATTAATGTTACTTTCATTCTGAAGTCTCTATATGTTTGTACAAGTGTGAAATGGGAATCAGATCTTTACTTCAACTGAGATTGAATTTGTTTGTCCGATTTAGATGCAAACTGCTCTGATGATTTTGGAAATGAAAATTTAAATACTCCTTTTTAAATGGATTTTATACAAGCCAGAATTGTTTGCTTCTGAATGTGTTTCTTAAATTGAAGGTTTCTGTCATATATGTTTCATAAAAATCACCTCTTCCTGAATTTTTAACATATGATATTCACATCTTATCTATTTTAATACTGTAAAAATTCTGAGGAAACTTCAGTATTGTCAAACTGAAGCAAAAAAAAAAATTATACAAGTTCATGCAGTCTGGAAATCAGTGTTTATATTTATTTCTCATATAATGGTTTTTATGATTGGATTTAAAGGATTTGTTTGGCCATTTATTGATATTTAGTCATTCAATCAAGAAAATGGAATTTTAAATGGTTCACAACACACTTTAGTGCATATAATTAGTTTTATTGAGGAGTGTATAAAATTCCTGTGTAAACTTGTTTTACTTAGTTTATAGAATTTAAAGGTAAAGACTGTTAGTATTCAAAAACATTCTCTATATTATCTGTGCAGATACAGCTAGCCAATGACCCTTATTGAGAAATTTCTGATAGTAAAGAACTATGAATAAACTGTGTGTTGATCAGTTTCAAGACAAGAATGGCAAAATCAACACACCAAAACTTAACACACATTCTGTTCCTTATGGAGTAGTCTTGAAAAATGTCTCATAATTTTATAATTTAGTATTATGCAAGTTTTAAGACTTAATTAAAAAAGAAGATAAAGGGATTAAATCTGTGAATTTCAAAATGTTAAAATTTCGAAGTAATTATCTTGGTCATGTCTCTTAATATATTTATCGTCTTAAATATTACCTTTAAGTCTACTAATAGAATGCTTGGTAAATATTGGATTTGTGAACAAAATAAACATATTAACTAACTTTTTATTTAATTTTCTTGAATAAGTCAACATTTAACAAACACGATTCCTGCCTTTTATACCAGAACCAATGCATGATTCTCTCTAATTTTAATCAATATTTCATATACAAGTAACATGTACCTTTTAGGGCTCACTCAGAAGTTTAGCATATTTGAAATCCATGGACTCTAAATCTGTCAGCATAAAATAATGGAGAAATGCTTGATAGGCATGAGAAAAAAAGCAAAAAAATGAGGCCAAGGTTATTTGGAAGGTCAAGGATATCAGATTTAGTAGCTTGGTAGTTGTACATGCATGCACATGTAGATGAAGTCTTCTCTTGGTATATGCACCAATCATCACAGTGCATGCAAAGATTGCAAACTGGGGAAAAATAAGGGAAATCTTTCTCGTTAAGAGGGTCTATGTCATAACAATCATAGTGGGGATATTATTATACCAAGGTCTGTCCTTGTGTAAGGGAAAATGAAATTAATACAATCATATTGTATACTGTTTAGGTGAGTGAAACACCACAGCTAAATGGGTTAAAAACAAGAAAAAAATGGAAACTTGAAATGTTAAGAGTCACTATGGGACAAATTTAGATTAATTTTATCTCTTTGCTAAATGTAGAAATAGAGAGAAGGATATTCTGTTTCTTTGTGTTGTTTCTTTTGGAATAAGAAATATATCAAATTTCATTTTTAACAAAAGGAATTATGCTTGAGTAGCAGTAAGTATGTTAAATGTACGTGGTACATGTACCAGAAGTTACTTGCAATAATTCTTCAGTTCTTGTTATAACAGGATCTTGAGGAGCAGAGACAGATGAACAAACAGGCAGCACATGATCGCATGATGGCAGTGGCTCGGGCCAAAGATCAGCTCAAACAGGAAATGTTACAGGAGATAGACAGAGTCCGCGAAAAACTCAAACAGGTAGGTGGTCTCAGTCGAAAAGTGTCTGAGAAAAACAAGAATGGCAAAAATTGAATAAAATTTATGCTTACAAATGCAAATTATTCCATCAATGTGTTTTGATAGAAATTTTTGTATTATTTTAGGAACATAGACAAGAAATAGAGCGCTTACAGAACACTATACGCAGACAAGAGGAGGAGCTCTGTAATCTACGAGCCGAGAGGAAGCTTTACGTCAGACCCGAGCTGGAAAACTCTCTCGACCGAGTAGAGAGGACAATCGTCAACGAAATAAACGAGGAATGTCGACGCAACTCTGGTGTTCTAGGCAGCAGTCCACGCAAAGTCAATCTCAAAAAGTATGTGGGACAGAATAAAAATTGCACAAAGTATTTATTTCTTATCTGGTGAATTTAAAATATCAATGGAAGCTAGGTTATAATTCCAAAATCAAGCTCTGAAAAGGAAAAAAGGTTTTCTATGTTATTTATAGAACCTGAATACTTGTAAATGTTTTTTAGTTCAGAGGATATTGAACTCTTATTGCAATTGATTATTATATTTTTTTAATACATAAAGACACAGTACAAATGATAGAATAGTCTGATGGAGGAGTGTCTCAAATTCCTCCAGTAAAGCAATTCTGGAGGAAATTGATGTCCGTGTAAGCAATATTTATTGTATGAGTTAATTTCAAATCATTATTGAAGTACTTAGCATTTAATCTTGTTTTCAGCTTCCAAGTAGAAAACGGTGGTTACACTCCCAATGGCAGAAGTCGAACACCTACCACGGCAGCTCTAGTGAGTTCTTTATTATATATCATAATCCTTTGTTACCTAGAATACCTTCCCTTCCTTTTTAACACCAGATTTAGCAAGGGATTGTCATACTATGTCTGTATGCGTAATACATGTACGTTGTATTTGGAACATTGAATAATTTACCAGCAGTAGTATAGCTACAGAATTAGAATTGATAGCAAAGGAAAAATAATGGGTGACAAAATGTAAAGTTGATGTATTATTCAGTATTTTTTGTTCCACAATAGATTCAGCCCACAGATAACAAAGAGGTTTGTTTGTCACACGTAATAACGCTGACGACTTTCCTGTATATGCAAAACTGTCTGTTTTAACATTGCTGCCTCATATTCTGTAGATGTTGAAGCTTACTTCTTTTAATAATTTGTTAAAATATTGATAAATTTTAGTCTGTCAGTATCACTTGTAGTAATATTTATATACGATATTTTGTTAAAATAATGACACTCGTATATATATAAGTCTGTTTCTGCTAATGGGCCAGGGTTTAGTCTGAAATGTTTGCGTAGATACATGTGTGATTTTTGCCAGCTCTGAATTTTTTCATACATGTTAACTAATTTAAGATATTTTTGTCATGTTTATTTCATGTTATATAACCATTTTCAAGAATAATGTCATTTGTTTAGAGAGTATAATTCACAATATATTTCACATTTTCTCTATATCACAAAGCACAGAGGAAAAAAAATACTTTCAGTGCATTAATTCCCATCATCTTAAAATGCTTATAACCTATTAAAATTCTTAGGAACTGTGAAATGTGTGGAAATTTTTATATTAAATCTCCTTTATTAATAATACTTCAGAACGATGTTTATAAATCACATATTTTTATCTAGGCAAACCTCAGGGCCTGCAACCAAGACCTACGTAATCATGTGACAGAGTTAAAAAGGGAATTAGAATTACAGAAATCAGCTCTAATGAGGGTAGAAAGAGAGAAGGTATGATACATTGACTGAGGGATTTTTTTGTCAGAAGGGTTCCTATGTCATTATGGATATCAGTAAGAGATTGTAGTGCTACAAACTGGTCCCTCATAGAAGAGAGATCATATGAAGATATATAATTTTTGGAAATCAGTTTTTCATTGAATGAATTGTTGTAGATGCTTCCAAAATTGTCTACATTTGTAGTTGGATTTTTATAAAACATGGTGTGATATACAAAAACATCAAGACACACTTTATACAATGTAAATCTCAAAAAAAATCTACAAGTGCAATTTTTCTTGAACGCTATTTTAATTTCAAAGCAGTTTAGTTCCTGAGAGACTATAAGCGTTTATTAAGGTACAGTTGTACCTTATTAATTATTTATAACTCGGCAGTAATTATCTTGGTACAGGATGACCTTGTGCAGAATGTAAAGAAAGAGATAGAAATAGAAAAGAATAAAGAGCTGGAAAAGATGAAACAGAGTCTGATGAAGGTAGGGGAAAATGTGAATGTTCTCATGAAATTTTCTAAAGTAAATTGATAGATTTATTCTTATAAATTTATTTTGGCAATTTATTAAGAAATTTTTAATATTTTTTGTAATCTGAAATCAAAGTAATATATATTATATGAATAATATGAATAGTATATACATGTATTAATAGTGTTTTATATATTCAATATATTTGGGTAACCATTATTGTTGCACATTTTGATTTTTTCTCTGCTTTTTGCAGCAGGTGCCAGCACTGGAATACAATGGCTACAATGTGCACAAACCCAACAATCAAATGTAAGGAAATGGTAGCACAATGCACATAAATCCCAAAATCACAAAACCAACAGAGTTCAATGTTTGTTTTACTTTGGCACATTCTTAATAGGACATTTACTCAAAAATTAGAGCTAATTAAACATGTAAATATAAGTACATGTAAATATTGGTAAATTGGATGCTATATCCAGCAAACATTGCACTCTCTGTTATACTGTAAAATCACATATTTTCGTGGGGTCAAGTTTTCATGGTTTGAGGAAAATCTCTTGGTAGATTTTGTAGATCAAGAATTAATGTACTAAAATACTTACGTAAGTAACATTTTACATTTCATGGTGAACATGAATTGGTGGGTCTTGTCATACCTTGAAAACAACGAAAATTAACCCTCCACGAAATTTGTGATTTCACAGTATGGGATCAGTCTAGTCACACTATTAACCTGAGTGAGGCAAGGGAGGTAATTCTTGGCAAATTTGGTCTGGCAATATTGCTCAACTAGATTGTTTTATCAGGAAAAAGAACAAAACTTGCAAGAGCAGGAGCAAAGTTACACTGAGAAAGTTAAGACATACATACAGATATTAAAACAAAAAGATGAGGATATAGAAGCTGTACAAAATAACTATGATAAATGGAGAATGGCTACTAATGCCATGATGAATAGAATGGAGGACACAATGCATAACTCAAGGTAGTGTAACACTGATTAGGGTGAAGGTTTGTTGTTTCTGGAAATAAAAGTCATTGTGTATTAGAATGTAAGGCTTGTCAAATGTAGGACAGTCATTGTAAATAACAGGAGACAAAATTTGAATAAATTTCAATTTGTTCTCTTTGCAAAACCTTTATGACTTCAAATTAATCTAACATCCAGCTCTATGAAGTGAGATATTTCAGTCCTGATATTTTTCTGTTTTAGGCAATATAACAACAAACTGGTGTCCACCCCCCACTTTGAGTACAGTCCCCGGGGAGAGGTACAGAATTACGAGATAGGGAGACTGGAGAGAGAAATCCGCCGACTCGCAGAGGTAGGGAGGAGGGCAGAAATATCATAAAAATAATGAAATAGTCTTATATAACGTACATTGCTTGAATAAAAGTCATTGTTCATTTTTCTGCATAAGCATGCATGTATAGTATGGAATGATAATACACTTCATCCCTTCACTACTAATAATTATAACAAATAATTCCATTACAAAAATCATTTTCTTCTCCATTTCAGAACCAAAAGCAAATCATTCATCAAAATGCTTCAGCAGTAGAACATGATATTCAGAATGAAAAAATGATAAACCAGTTAAAAGCCAAGGTCATGCAGCTTCAAGATGAAAATGTAGCTCTGAAAAGCAGCAAGTTTAATTCCTACTCTGTCCCTGATCTGTCAAATCCGTCACACTATCGCTCAGTAAGTAAACTAATCTGTAAATAACCAGAGTCAAATAATATATAGATATAGTAAATATGTCTGATCACAATTGAAATTACGTAAAACTACATACTATAGAAAAAAAATTGGTGTGACAAATTCTCTGAAAAAAAGAAATAATGCAGATCAATCCTGGAACCATGGATAATTTTTGGGATTGTATGCATATTGATTTTTGACTTCTTAGGCAGTTGCTTCAATTATCTAATCATGTACAGCAACTTTTTCTTGCTAAAGCTGTAATCGATGGATTTTATATGCAAATATAGTTATCACACTTTAAGGGAGATAACTCTTGCAATCTTTTCCTTTGACAGTCAGCATCCCTACACCAGCCTACACACAGAGAGAAGTTAGCCCACTATCTGGAGCAGCGGTCTAAGGAGGGACTGATAGACACTGAGACCGTGTCAGAACACCAGAGGATGAACAGGAACATGATGTCACAGAAAATGATGGAGATGACGCGGCTACAGAACTCCCTCACTGACCAGGCCAAGGTATGTTGGCACTATACAGAATATTTACTCTCTAGGGTACTTGACAACTTTTTAAACAATTGTAAAAATTTTACACATGCAAGCTGAAGTTTTTGCCTTTGTTTTATTCTGAGAATCTGTTTATAAGTATTCTTTTGTATAAAGCATAGTAAAAATCAATTTATAGTGAACACAAATAAAATTTTATCATATACAGTAGAACTAATTAAGTATTAAATTGATTATTTTAAATCATAGTAATTACATCTCTGTTTTATTACTGAAATTATATGACCTCAAATATTTCCATGATAAGATATTTGGATAAATATTTAGAATTGGTCACACTCAGCTGGCAAACTGTGTAAAATTTTTCCTGTATGAGCTAGAAAAATGTTATGGAATATACTTGTAGTCCATATTTGTACATGCATGTTTATTTCTTGCAATATACGATTGTATTTTATGAAGAAAACCTAACTTTAGCTTCATAGCTTTAATAGCTAGTGTACTATTTATTTTCTTTTCATTTTTACTCATCTTGCAGAAATCAATAGTAGAACAAACTTTAATTCTTATCAGTTTACTTTAATAGTACTGTGCACCTAAATAATTATGTAGAAAATAATGTGCATCAAACTTTTTGTAATAAATGGATGTTTTCTCTAAATGTTTTTTTTTTAATTTGATATTTGAATTTATATTAAATGTACTATATTTCAATAGAATCAAAGAATCAAATGGTATATGCTTTTATATATATATTAACTACATGATTGTGTAAAAATAATGTTAAACCACACAAATATTAAAAGATGTGTATTCCTGAATTTTGAAATCTATACGTCTTTCTTGTTGTTGGCAAAAGTTTATTGGTGCTTCAATGAACATTTAGAAAAAGCATCCTGTAGCTTGGCTTGTGCTACATGTAGCTATAGATATTGTGCTAATATAGAAAATGTTACAGTTTTAGTAGGTTGTGGTGATGGTGCTTGCATGTATCCAAAGCTGTGAACACACTCTGCTGACTTGGCAACTATTTCAACCTCAATCTAATAAACATTGCTAACATTAGCTTCATGTTTTTGACCTTTGGCTTCCGTTCATCGCAAAGTTCCTGCATGCTTCTCAAAACTTCATTAAAATATTATAATATATAAAAGTGCATTTTCTCTAGATTAGTATTACTTATATTCAGTTTACCTATAATATTTCTAAATTACCACTTTCTTGTACTTTTTAATACATTGCTAAAAATAAGAAATGAAAAATTAATTTAAAAAAAATTAAAGTAGACTGTATTGTGTTTGAGCACCTGCTGATGTTGGCATGTTGTTTGACTTTATTTCAGGATTTGATTCACCTGAGTAAATCCTACCACCAGCTGAACAAGAGGTCTCCATCCCCTGTAAAGGACCTGAACATCACCCAGTGACAGGAGGGGGGGGCAGTAACAGGGAGGGGAGGGGTAGAATGTGGTCATTAGTTTTATCTGTATTTGTTACAGGACCTGATTTACCTGGGAAAGTCTTATAATCACCTGGACAGGTACTACCACCCACGGGAAGCCTGGTACTCCGTGCACGACCATAACCAGTACTGAATGTAATCATGTAATAATGTAATATCCAGTACTGAATGTAAACCTGTAATAGCCATTACTGACTGCACTGAATGTAAACATGTAATAGCCACTAATGACTATAATCATGTAATAATGTAATCGCAGGTACTGACCATAATCATGTAATAATGTTATCATTTTTGATAACATTTATAGTAACCATTACTGAGTGTTATCATAAATGTAATAGCATTTGTGTAATCACATTTCTATTTTTGTGATTTCTTAATTACAATATATGTAATTATGATTCTAGCATTAAAAATAATTTCTATTGTTACAAATTAATATATTAATTATCGATTGTATGAGCTTTAATACACAAATTGCAATGACATTTGTAGTCAATCTCTTAAATGTGTTATTGTGAATGTATTGTTGGCAGGTACATGATCGACTTAACACATTGACTAGACTTTTATTTTTTATTCACTATTACATGATTCATCTAAATATGAGTTATACATAGATTTATCTGAAATCATATGAATTTTTGTTACTATTATCTAGATACATATTGCAATATTTCCACTTGAACCAACTTCCACAAATATATGTAATATTTTTTTGTTTGTTGTATGGCAGGTTTAATTACATGGTTAGTGGTGTTAGCTTTATACATTATCAGACACAAGAGTTACCAAGTTAACCTGAATATAGAACAAGAATACAATAAGTTTCTGTATTAATAATTTATTAATTTGACTTTTTGTACCATTGTAGCCTTGATGTATAATTGTATAATCTGAAATTTGTACAATATGATTAAAACTTATAGGTACATTGTAGCCAGATGAAAAAAAATCAAAAGTAGTGTAGGAGGTACTTTGTACTGTAGAACTTTTTCCATGGTATGATCCGTCCATATAGTAGTATAGATCTAAAAACATTCTTTTGATTTACATAGTAAAATAGTTATTTACCGGTATTTTGAATTGTATATATATATATATATATATATACTTTAGGTCTTGTGCCAAACTTTTCCAATTTTGGTAGTCATATTTATAAGGCGTTGTGGTAGATATTAGAACAGGAAGCTGGATTCAGATCTGATATTTTCGCTGTAAATTTGCTTTATTTATAGCCGCTGTTTTTCTAAGCTTTTTGGTTTTTTTTAACTTTACGGAGATGCTACTCTCCGATGATCCATCAAGTGTCTGTGATATTTGGTTCCGTCCATACAAGGAAGACATTAGTGCTGTGTTGTAGATAGAAAAGGAAGGAAGAGATTGAAAGTGTGAGTGAATGGTTTGATGTTGTGGTTATATGTTGTATAAATGGGGAAATAGAATAGATTTTTGCAATTAGAGATTACTAGCTAGGATTTTTTCCTATTATGCATTTTCTGCAAATTTATTTATGATATTAATATATATAAATGAATAAATATATGTTAAAATTTACTTTTTCTTCATCATTACTTCAGTGTATGTATGGATGCCATGGTGCAAAATGATTCATTGAAATGTATAGATCTTCTGGCCATTGTTTAGCAGGCACCACCTGTATACCTGCTAGAAAGGTAATCAAGAAAGAGATGATCCTGCATAAGTACCAAAAAAAAAACTCTTTCGCAAAAATTAGCCTTTGCTCATCAATTTTTATTTCCATTGTACATTCTTCCTATAGAGGATTTGGATACTGTATAATACATGTAAATTCAAGCAAGTTTAGTAATTAATACAGTGCAAAATGTGAGAGAAACATAATTGAAGATAAAAATTTTTAGAGAGGAAAAAGGATGAATTATTTAATTTTTTTAATTGCCATTCTTAACAGAATGTCAGAGAAATTTTATATCCTGCATGGCTGAAAGTATTGGAGATGATGCAGCAGTTTCGCTTAAAGTCATCATTTTGTAAGTTTAATGGTCCATACAATGACCTTGTCAGCAAATACAATTTATCATAGAGTCAAATGCTGACTGACTCTTTTCATACTGATTATAAGGCCATTCTTTACACACTGAGTTATTTCTTGAACATGACAAGGAGCACATTGGCGGATGTGACTGGTCGGCAGGGGATGCTCACCCCTCCATTGCACCAGACCCCACCTCTGATGTTTTGGAGGTCCGTGTTTGCTCTGCTCCTATTTTGTATTGTTTTATGGACTTTTGAGCTCGAATACTGTTCATTATCTCCACATACATGTATTTCATTCAATTGAAAAACTCCTTGGTGCCCCCAATCTAACTGTATGTTTTGGTAAAAAGTAGATTGACACATTGGAAAATTGTTTTTGATTGACTACAGAGAGATGCTTAATTAATTTTAATTCTTGTATAAATTAGAATAAGAGCAGTAATATGTTTTATGATTTACTTGTATATAAGTAAGGCAAGCCTTACTGTACTGGCCTTAGGGAACTCATACACTTGCAAGTTAAGATGAGCTTGCCTTGCAATGCATCTTGGTACTGAGTCACAAAAAAAGACAAAACTTATAGTAAATAAGATATTTTATTCTGCTTTTTTCCCCTTGAAATTGCATTGTGTACATAATAAATAAATAACTGAAAGTACAAATTCTGCACTTTTTGATTTCTCATATGGATCAAGTTTGTTCAATTGTATAGTAAAATAAATATTGCTGCTATTGCAGAGTTATTTCCCCTAACATGAATATGTATTGCTATAAAAATAATGAGTATTGTGATAATTACAGATCTTTTCCCTTTTTCTATTGCAGTAAATGTTGCCTTAATCAGTCAATGTCCATGCATCCATAACTATCACAGAACGCTTCTAGTACATACAAAAATTGTAATTCTAAAACTAAATTTCTACGAAAAGGAGTTTCTTTGAGACCTGCTCCTCAAAATGAGAAATTTACATTTGCTATAATAATGTCAAAACTATATTCTGAACCAATAGACCATGTTCATTCACCATTCTCGAAACTATGTTCATTCATCATCACATGACATGGCATGTTTCAACACTATTCTGAAGCACTAGATACCAGTTTATACTGTGGTAGTTCGGGGACTAGTTTTGTCAATTGAGTTCTTGAAGAATCTTCTCTATTTTTGGATTGACCTTGACCCCTGTCAACTTCCATTTTAGAGCACTGAAGTCAGCACACTCTATCTTCTCCTTCTGGTAATCAGGCTGGTCTACTTGTTCTTGGGAACTGTTTAGAAAAGAAAACAAATTTATTGGAGACAAAGCCCAGAGTACCATAGCTACTGAATAAGGGAGAGAAATTGCGTAGCTATTAATATTTGAAGTTAACTTGTACTTTTTAATTTTAAAATGTTTATTTTGCTAATTACAAAAATTGAATCAAAAGAAAATTGAACATCATCTTTAGTAATCTGATGTCACACAATGAAAATAACCCACGTTACACTCAATGATTGGAATACAATTATTATAAAATGATGTTAAATATGCACTTTTTTCTTGTCACTAATTTTCAATAGACTTACTGTATTAAAAGCATTTTACTTCAATATTTGTACTTGTTAAGGCAAGTATATATATTAATATACTGAACATTGCAGGGAGAAAAGGCCCATGAGGCCCTTAGCTTGCTTGTTATCTCTATTTTCTCACTAAAGTTTGTGAATATGGTACATTCGAGTCACACTGCATCATCTATGTATCAACTTTATAGTTCCCATATTTAAAGATTTTTTAAAATGTACTTTGAAATTCATTATAGTTTTGATGACTTGGACATCATGAACTAAATGATTTAAATATGGATAAAAATTGTATCACATTTGACTGCAATTTTGAAAAAGCTGACTATAGATTTGTGAAGACGATGAACACATGCAATAGTGATTTTCTACTGGTATTCTCTAATATCTTTCTTTTTTGGCCTCCAAGCCATATTTTATGTGTATGTTTACATGTATTAGAAACCTCTTTTATATCTAATTTATATTTATAATCTGCTATTAAAAAAAAAAGTGATTTGGTGAAGAAATGAAAAAAATGATGTAAAAAAGATTATTCTTGACTTGCTCTTCTGAAATACAGTCATACATGTGCAAAGAGACAGTAAAAGCCTGAACAAATTTATTGTTTTTTAAGAACAAGAGGCCCACGGGCCTTATAGGTCACCTGAGCATCATGTAACAACTTTCCAACAATTGAATTTGATTCGTTTTTTAAACCAGAGGCCATGACATTCACAGTTTTGAAAGAGACACCATTTCTCATCACAACTATACATTTAGCATTCTTTAAGGTTTGGTTACTTAATACCCATAGGCAGAGTAAGGAACAAAATGAACAGCAATAATCAGTGGTGCTCCTACCCCACAGGAACCCCAGACCCTGGGGCAACACATATTTCACAATTTTGGAAAAGGCATCCTTGCTCATCATAAATGTTTGATCAATACCAAGTAGCAGATTTCAAAGCATTAATTCATTTTCAGTATATAATCACTTAAAGCCCCCCCCCCCATGGTACCCCTGACTAAGGGGCCTTGAAATTCACAATTCTGGAAGAAGGACCTTTCAATTGCTAATCAGAACTATGTATGAAATCCTAAGACCAGAACTCCTGACCCTGGGGCCGGGCCATGATACTCACAATTTTGGAAGAGGCACCCTTGCTCATCATAATGACGTATGTAGTTAGTTTGTTTAATATCCAGGAGCAGAGGAGAAGATTTTCAAAGAATTGATGCTTGTTCACTTTATAATCAATAGAACTCCATCCTAAAACCAGAATCCCTAACCCCCCGGCCATGAAATTCACAATTTTGGAAGAGACACCCTTGCTCATCATAACTATACATTAAGTTTGTTTGTTTAATATCCAGGAGCAGAGAAGATGATTTTCAAATAAATAATGCACTTTCACTATATACATGTACTCTATATAGCCCCACCCTAGCACTAGAACCCCTGACCCTAGAACCATGAATTTCACAATTTTGGTAAAGGACTCAACGAATATTACAATCCTGCAAACAGTCTGACTGCTTGATGTCCAGGAGTAAAGAAGATTTTTTTTTAATTGCATCAATTGGTTTTGGCCCCACCCCTCAGGCCCCAGGGGGCAGGGACCATGAAATTCACATTTTTTTGTTTCCCTTCACACATAGATGCTATATAAGCCAAAACTGGTTTAAATTGGTTCAGCAGTTTCAGAGAAGCTGAAAATGTTTAAAAGTTAACACACAATGGACGGCACATGACTACGGACAGAAACAGTAATAGGTCACCTGAGTGACTCAAGTGACCTAAAAATCTCATCTGAGTCATTTACTCAGGTCAGCTACAGGTAAATTCCACAGCATCAGAGCAAACTTTTTTTAATGTAGGATTTTATTAGCACACACAGAGGTATTATGAATTTTTGGGGAGTTTTAGATGACACACTGTTATTTCTGGCATGCTACAACATCATAACTTACTACTATTCACCACAAATGTAGGTCAAATGTATGTAATGTTTACTTACTCACTGCAATAAAGAGCATGAACATCAATTATATTTTTTATGACATGCAATGAATAACTATATTTTTAAATTCTTTTATGAATTATCTTTTCCATTATTTTATAGAATGAGGAGGTATTTGTGAACTTGAATGAATATGACATTTCAAAAGTATCACTTAACATTATACTCAGTACACCAACTTTTATTCGTGAGAAATTTCCGCAAGTTATGCGACTTTCTTTTAATTTGCTTATGAATATTTCTTGTTGAGAACCTATTTTTCTATTGTGTATATTTATATATCATGTATTTCCGATCACAGAAATTAACATTTGTGAATGGGAACCAGGCAGATGATTCCCAAATAAAAGATGATGCAAATACCGGGGTAATAGTTGGTTACGGTATATTTGTATGTTAAGGTCTTTTGGTAGTACATGTACTTACACATGAGTGGAACACATCAGTCTCTCTGCCAGGGCAGTCATTGCTGAGAACGCCTCTAGGTCAACTTTAGTTGTATCTGTGATGTCCAGTAGATCAACTATTTTCTTGTAGTCCTCTGATGTTATTGTATTAACAAGAACCTGCGTCATGGCCTTCTCTAAATCCTGAAATAAATTTACATTAAAATGATGTCTGAAATCATACATATCCTTATACAGAAAAATTAAGCCATCCCCTGGATGTCCTCCAAAAAATACAGAAATTATTTAATGTATTCAGAATCACATACAAAAAAATTATAGAATAATTTATCACTATTACGTGCACATGTAATAAAAATTACGTAAATATATTTTCTATTATAAATATATGACAAAAATTGTAAAAATTTACAAAGGGGAATAACTCTTGCACTTCGCATTAACATCATTTGACAAACCTTAAAAGGTATTGCCCCTGCAGTTTTTTCTCGGTGTTTCATATAGATGTCCTGGTAGAGTTTTTTCCGTCGTCTTTTGATGATGCAGAAATTTTTCACGTACTCTAATGGAGTCATCTCTGAATTAAAGTTAAAAAAAAGTTTAACCAAGATTTTATGCAAGCCATATATATGTCAGGGGTTGCTTTTGTAGAGTACAAACAGTAACAACTGAATATCTACAGTTTTTGAGTTTTAGTAATCAAGTCTAACAAAGTTGATGTTAGCAAGAGTAATATGTTGAGTTATTTCTGTAAATGGTTGAGACTTACGCTCCAGTCTTGCCATGTCTATTGGTAACGTAAATCTACTAGACTGCTGGGAGAGAGCTAATCTACCCGTCACCCACGACGTCTTCTGGACATTTTTCTGAAATTAGAAAAAAGTTGATATTCATTAACACTAAGTCTTCGTAATATATCCAAAATATTTCACTTTTGTCATAAAAATTACTTTTAACTATATATATATGCACTGATATGTTTTCACTATTACAATCAAGTCTTAGTTATCAATACATGTATATACATGCAATATAATTTAAGTAACCAGAGTACAAGTACTTGACTAAGCCCAGAGTTACCTACCCTTGGAGAGTCATCTCCTGTCATTTCCATCATAGCAAAATCAAAATTCTTTAGTCTCTGTTTAAGCTGGTCATCTAAATCATCCTGTAATAGAAACAACAAGGGATTCCAAATTAGAAAGCAGGTTTCATTATCTTATTGTAAAATCAAAAGAGGAGTTTCATAATTCAAAACTAAATATACGCAGGTAATTTACCCATGTTTATGTAATTTTACGAGAAACTCTGTTCATGAAATTCATGAAATAAAGCTTAGTTATATTCTTTGATTGCTGATAAACATGTAAAGATTCCTGCATGGTTACATGTAACAGTTCAACTGCAAATTCACATTCTTGCAGTTAGATGACATCTTCTAAGATTTTCTTGAATATGATATTAATCATTTGTGTAAGATAAGGCATCTATGGTATTAGAATTGACATGCAGCAATGATAAGGCTTATATATTATAAATATAATCCTAGAATGGCTTTGCACAACACCACATTTATATGAACCTTAATTAAAGCATTTCTTCATCTTAATGTACCAGCCGCTGTAAATGGCTTAAACTCAGGTACATATTAATCTGAAGATGCACATTTTCTAATGATCGAGACATTTTCTTCCTAATAAATTGTTAGTAATCATTACACTCAAGACATGATCCAAATAATGCATGTGATACAATACACTGAATTCAACACAAAACTATGGTGACCAAACACTTAAAAAATCTTTAATTTATGGACACACATGCAATAAAACCAATTAATGCAATCTTTTTTCAGTAATTCAAGCCTACAAAAGCTACATTCAATTAAGTGATATGATAAAATAATTAGACATTTATTAAGTGTGGTTGCAGCAATTCATAAGTCAAACTATATTCAGCTGATCAATTATTATTAACAATATAGCTTTTTGCTGCTCACAACTCAGTGCCCCGACTGCTTACCCTGGGCAGCTCTAGTTCATCCTCTGTGGGTAACTCTAGTGGAGTTCCTACTCTTGGACGCTAGCAACAGGGAAATCATTTTTTTTTAAATTGCCAAAATTAAGGTTTCATAGATTTTATGCTTGTGCAATAATGTCTGGTTTATGATTTTTAACAAGAGGCCCATGGGCCACAATGCTCACATTCAGAATTTTCACCTCAAATTTCACCTCATCCTAAACCCCCAACCCCCCCCCCCCCCCACACACACACACACTTTGGGCCATGAGTAATGAACAAACTTTTATTTTCACCTGAAGGTTCCTTGGCAGCATATCAATTATCAAATCTGGATCATGATATTTTTGAAAAAAAATTTAAATGTTTAAAAAAATTTGTATTTCAAAGAAATTTTGATCCATTTCTATGGCCCCTTCCTATCTTAGGGCCATTATTTGAATAAGCCTCAATCTGTCCTCCTCAAATATTCTTGCATATCTGATATCATTTGTTAAGTTCTTTCTGTTCTTGAGAAAAAAAATATTTGATATGATTTTCTACTAAATATTTCAGAGGTTCTGGAGACGGTAATGAAAATGTGCACAAAGAAGGTTACAGATAACAGGCCGACAGATATACCATGGAATACTGTCTTATTCCTTTGACTCAGTGAGCTAAAACTTTTATTAGACATCTCTTAAGTTTTACGGATTACTAGTATAAAGTGAAGTACTGCATCATAAAATTTATTAGATGATATTTTAACCTAATCTTTAAGTTAAAAAAAAAACTACTGTAAATTCATAAAATATGCAGAGCAATATTTACCTATGACATCATTTTTGTTAAGTATAAATAGAGTATTATTCTTTTATTTCTTTATTTTGAAAATCTCAGAGCAATTAATTAAACTCTGTAGAAAACTTCACAATTAAAAAATTGAATTTCAGACACATAAGATGCCTAGTTACCTCAGGGTCCTTGGGTGGTGGCGTCTCATGCTTGGGTTGTGACACTAGATGGCGCTCAGCTTTGCGTTTTTCCTTCTTGTCCTTTTTCTTCTCTTCAAAACTTGGTAGTGTGGGAACCTCTAAATCAACCTTGATGTCCTTATTTTTCCTGTAAATAAAAGTAATGAAGTAGTGACTCACAGAAATCAAATTCATATTTGTAGATATGGTATATAAATGAACAGAGAGAACATCACAATTATTATCAAAATTGGTTGAAACTCTACACTATAATAGATAGAGAAACTTCTGGATTTACAGAAAGCCAACTCTATTTGTATTTCAGACTTCCTCAAAAAAAAAATATCCGAAATTGTCACCAAGTAATCGTACAATCGCAGTACAAATATGGCACTCTTTAAAGTGGTAGGAACAGTTTTCAGCGAATTTTAAGAAGATAGTATTGATTCAGCTCTCTGGGTCCACTTTCCTTGAGAGCCATTTGTCAATGAAGAATTCCAATACACATTCTATTCACATAACCTCCCAGGTGCGACAAGGATCAAACCGTCCTCTTTCTTTGCCTATTTTTAAATATTTGACTATACCTATTTGATATCAAATTTACACCTCTCAGTCTAAGGAGAATATATACTCGAATTGGTAAACATTTCGAACAGTGAAATTATTGCAGATCAAAGAACAATATCTGTTTTGCAATTTTCATGATATTAGAAGACAAAATCTAGAACTTTTCATTTTACTAGCAAGAACATATTGTAAAATCTTTTTGCTTTCAATGCTTTTAAGTTTTTTAAAAACATCGAATAAAAAAGAAATTTAGAAACCTTTGCGTCTTTTGATGATATATTCCTCAATAGTCCTAAATAACAATCAAAACTTTGAAAACATTCAGTAAAGAAAATAAGTGTGTCATTGTAAAGCTATTATGTAAATAACAACTTTTTAAATGACAAGTTAGCATGTTCCTAACATTTACTTGGAGACTTGAAAACAAAATTTTAATACATGTATTTACTGTGTTCGTTAAACAAAATTTAAATCTACAAATTCAAATCTACGTCAGGACCAGTAGCAATTTACGAAAAACATGTTCCGATGGTCAAATGAAACTTTGTGATGTCAAAATAAAATTATTGCGTTACCAATTATTTTTAAATAATCAAATTTTTGAGAAATAGAACCCTTGCCTTACCTGTCTTTCCAATGAGATTAAAATAAACTTTTGACAAGTTGACAAGCAATCCCCTCAAAATGATATGAATGAAAATATATTCAGTGAAATAATTATAAACTTGTTTCCATGATGCTTATCACCGGCCAGCTGATAAGCTCGACATATTTTCCTTCAACTCTATGTACACAGGGCAAATCTACCCAATTGATTGACAAGGGAAATTGATTGCACAGATTTACAGTCGGGAAAATCAATGTCCTCGGATTATTCCCCCATCAATTGATAGATCTGATTAATGACTTTTTATGGAGTTTTCCAACTGTTCTATAATGTCTCTAACATGCTAAATCTTTCATGATCGAGGCTTTCTTCTCAAATTGATTACAAAATCTTTCTCAACCATAAACCATAACATGAGGGGAAAAAATCTAGTGCGCGTTGACTTTTTTAGCTCAAAGTTTAATTTTTGAATTGAGTTTTTTTTTAAACAATTACTAAATTAATTCATTAATATTGATAAAATTTCTAACCTTTTTAAGAATCAAAATTCCTTTTCCCACAAAAGAGCCTAATTCCAATGTCCAAGTACAATAAAGCAGACTGGAGACAAATTGCTCCCTGGAACATTGTCCAATATTGACAACTGTCAAATTGACTTAAATTCCCCTATTTTACCACCCCAGAATATGTACAAGTGGAGATTTTAAAAGTCTGGTTTAAATTCTTTTATTGAATTTTATTTTCAATACCCATGTTCAGAAACTTCAGTGACATTCGAGGATTGTAATTAAAAGCCCACCGTATTCTTGCCTGGAAACCTTGCCGTGTTTTACCTATAAACAACCTGACGTGCTAAGTCTTTTTTTATCTTGTCACTTTTCTTTCTTTCGTGATAATCTCTATTGACAAAGGATTCTTTCAGTGCACACAGAGATTTGTGCTGTGCTGTTCGATCATGGTAATTGTGCAATAAACCTTTTCTTATCAAAGACAAAAAATACAAAAAACTTTTGTGTTCACCTTTATCAAACTTGACATCAAAAAGCCGCAAGGACAAACTATGTATATTTTACTGCATAGGCAAATATTTAAATAATGAAAGTGGAGAAAATGGCACTCTCATGCAATTTCTTCCAACAAAGATTTTTGTGTTAATATAGAATTGTCCTTGAATAAAAGTTTTTAAACTACAGGATATTACTATTTTTAAAGAGATTTTGAAATAACAGAAAGTTTTAAACATATAAAGGAAAATAATTTTATAATCATATTAATAATTTGGATTCACTCAGGCTATATAGTTCAAAATTTCAAAGTGTTTGCATTCCATCGATGCCTATAAATGTTCCAATATATATGTATATGCACCTACAGAATATTATACTGTTGCATTTTGACTTTTTTTTACAGAGATTATCCTAATCTATCAGTACCTTCAATACAAATGTGATTCTTACTGAACTACTGGTAATTAATACTTATACATGCTGTGCCAAGGGAAGTAACTATGCTTATCATCCATTCTATGCTACATCATTTGCAAATGAATACATTGTATTACCGTATAAGTGGAAATTTTAGCGAGATGCAAATTTAGTGATTTGTCCTTAAAAACTGGTAATTTATTTTTAGTGAGATGTTATTTTAGCGATTTTAAAATGCACATTAAAGAAACTATTGCTAATAAAACGCAATTAATTTTTAGCAATATTCAATTTTAGCGATCTCAACATCTTCGCTAATAATGCCAAAATTAAATCCTCACTAAAAATTCTACTTATACGGTAATTAATTCATTAACAAACTATTTTTTATTTGAAACTGAAACTAAATAGAGATGTTTAACTTAATGACATGCAAGGGGTTGCATACAGGAGGCATGCAGTACTAATATACTATAGGTATAATGATATATATCCTGATTGTTAATGACATGCATGCGTTTAAAATTACCATTTCTGGACAAGTGTAACACTGGTAAAAAGATTTTGTTAAAAATATAAATAAATTTTATTCAATATAAAACATAACCTAGAGATTGCCACATCCTCAATAGGTGTTAGAGGAAGAGTAGCTTTTTCAAATTCAATTTAAATCACTTACATATGTCTTCTGTAGGAGGTTTTGGAGTTAAAAGCAAAATACTTAAAGAATGATTTGTTGGGACTTCCAAACCATTTTGACTTATCCATGGTATTGACAAGATACTGAAGTATACCTGGGTTTTTTTTTATGTAAATTATATTTGTGTCCTCAGTAGATAGGGTAGAGGAGGAGTACTTATTTCAAATATACAAATCACTGATGGTCCTTAGTGTAGGAGAAGGGTGGGTGTTTTAATTATTACAGTACTGTTTATTTGTCCTTAGTAGGTAGAGTTAGAGGATGGGGAGTGGTTATTTCAAATGTAAATCACTTACATGACCTCAGTAGGGTAAGTGGGAGGAGGAGGGGTAGCTATTTTATCGATATATATAAATCAACTGTGTGTCCTCAATGGGTGTTAAAGAGAGGAAGAGGTGCCTATTCTAAAATTACTTTCATGTCTTCATTAGGAGTCGGAGGGGTTAGTACATTAAATATATATCACTTAGCATATCCTCAATAGGAGGACTCAGGTTCAAAATTTAAATATAACAGACTTACGTGTCCTCAATAGGAGGTGTGGGAGGGGGAGGGGTAACTGGTTTGGGGGGTTCCACTTTCTCCTCCATCTCCTCTTTAGTTTTCCTCGTCCTGTGTATAGGTTTCTTCTCCTTCTTATTGATGGCCCTCTTTCTTTTTTCTTCCTCCTCAGCTTCTCGAAGAGATTTTAGGAGGTCTTCATCTTTGCTGAGGTCATCTTTTGGGGTCAAGGGTTCAGGGGTCGGTGGAGGTTGAACTGGAGATCGGCGACCATCTTTGTCATTAGGAACAGTGATAGGTTCTGGTTTCTGTTTAAGGAAAAAAATCATAAGTAAATTAATAAAGTATTTATTAAAGTAAATAAGAGTAGTATAAGATGAATGACTTTCACCTATGATTTTTTTTACATTTTTCTGACAATTACTCCATTTCAAAACCAATATTATATGGATTTTTTCTCTTTGTTCACAATACATGTATTTCCACTAATGAAAATTTGAGATGGATAAAGGAAAAAAATATTTAAAATACTACCGGTAGTTTATTGAACTGACAAAATTAGGAAAGAAAGCGGCGTCAAAAAGTAGCTTGAAGGACTGTTGGCCACGAGTGTAGTATTATAAGATTACTTAGTATGATATTTCATATACTACCAATGGTTTGCTTTATTGCAGCCAGCTAGGTCACATTTGATTAAAATGAGTATGTAGTATTTCAAATATTTAATTGTCTTCATTGCAGTCCATCATAATAATTAATAAATCATATCAAAATTTCAAAACCATTGAGTATTTCCAAAATAAATTTACTTATTAAGTAATACCTTTCTTTAAATCCTGTCAATACAGACACCAAACATATAGTTCTCCAAAACTTAAATGATTTTGAAGTATTGAGCTGACACTATGGGCACATAAAATATTCACAGTTAAACCTCACCACCAACTGTCTCTGTAATTCCAAGTTCATAAAATCCAAATCATTCCATAATCAAGCAGAATTTAAGATTGCAGTACCTCACATCAGTCTTGTCAACAATTATTGGGATTAAGCCATTAATTACATGCCTATGGAGCCCTACAAGGCTGATACATCACTAATTTGTGTTAAAATGATTACAGAATCAACCAAGCAAAGGTCTTGGCAACAGAGGCAGACAGGTTAAAAAATCAATTTCTGCTCAGGACCATTTCAATGAGTATAGATCTGGCTCTGTTAGCTGCTCTATTACTGAAACAGGTTTTAAAATTCAAACACTTTATACCTGTAATTTGTTCATTGTTAATATTTTCAAATTGTGTACATGTACTTATTGATGTTGATATAATTACATTTCCTCTTATGACTATTGGATGTGAATATTTGTCTCATGAATTTCTACAGAAAATTGCATTGTGTAATGTGGGAAAGCAGCATTATAGATTTACCTTAAACAAATGGCCTTAATCAGATATTCTGTGAATTATTCATTACGGTACTGTACTTATCTGAATTTCTCAGACACTAAAATGGAGCCAATAACAGGGATCGACACTAACTTTCAAACCATAGTTGTCAGCAGGGCTAGCCATTTCTAAATACTACTAGCCCTGTTCATGTATTAGTTGTCCATCAGCCGAAGGCTGGTGGCAGAGTCGCGAAGTGACGAGGGGGGTAGGTGCGGGAGGGGGTTTCCCCCTCCTGCTGGTGGGGGTACGGGGGGCCTCCACCGGGAAATTCTGAAAATAGAGATGCCAAATCCTGCATTCTGGCTGTATTTTGGGTAAAAATTATATGTATTTTCATGATTGTACCTAAACAATCGAAAAAGTCAACATTTATAATCATTTAGAGTATTTCAAATCACCTTTAAAGTTGACATTTTGACTTACAAAAATAATAATTATGATGATAAAACATGTTTGAAAATAGATTTAATTATTAATTGTTAGACACATTGTGTGCAATTGATAATTGTTTCTGTTGCTCTAAGTGAGAATTTGATAAAATTCTTAGTAGCCCTGCAGGGCAAGTTTAAAGGCATGTTTAGTAGCCCGACCTCAATATTCAGTTGTCCCGGGCCAGCGGGCTACCGTTAGTGTCGAACCCTGAATAATAGCTAGCCTCAGCAAATATGACAGGAATTCTTTTTTCCCTTGGAAAAATTAAATGTGATATGATATCATATCTCTCTGACATTTTGATTCATATTTCCCCACAATAAAGATTTTAAATTTAGTATTTTTCTAAAGTCAAACAATTCCTTTTCCAGACTTGCCCCCCCCCAAAAAAAGTAAAAGAAAGATAGACTATCAGATGCTTTTTATTACTTGCCTTCTTTTCATCATTGTTATCAGTTTTAGTGGCAGGTTTGCCTACAGAAAAAGAGAAAAATAATAGGCTATCAAAAATGCTTTAACTCGAGTATCTGAACTGCATTAATTCTTTAAAATGCATTTGAATTATGCAGAACCAAAAATGCATTGCTAAGCTTACCGTATATACTCGCCTATAAGTCGGATTTTTGGGAGTAAAATTCTGGTCCAAAACTCCATGTCCGACTTATAGGCAAGCTATACAATGAATGGTATTTTATGAGGTCAGTCCTTATGATTATATGCTTATTAAATACAACCGACTTATAGGCGGACCGACTTATAGGCGAGTATATACGGTATTTTGGAGAGAAGCAAAATAAAATGATAAATTAACTGTATTGTATTTATATGACTGTACTTTATCTATATAATACAATATTTCTAAAAATCTTAAACATGACAATTTAATCATTGCATGAATATATTCCATTTAATAATTCCAGTATTTCAGTCTTATAGTTATCTGTTAGAATTACATTAATCAAGGAATAATAACATTAGCCAACATTCATTCGTATATTCAAATGCCACCCAACACCAAAAATTTATGGTTTTAATACAAGGTTATGAAGTGACAATACAGGAATAAAATAATATATTATATCATAAATGCATGGTTCCTGCAAATAAGAAAGAAGTAAGATTTTATCAGAGTTGTCCCCCTTTTGATCTTACTGCATGTTCATAGATCAACTGAAAAAAAAAATTTCCCTAGTTTCATTTTTCATTTAATAAAATAATAAAAATAACTTGTCTGGCTAGAGGTTGCTACATTAATTATGATTGCAATGAGCTATTGTAAAGAAATTATAATATTTAAACATAAAAAAATATTTATTAATTAACCTATAGCTAGAGGGTACATTGTTGAAAATTAAGCAATTAAATTTTATCTGATTTAGAAATTCACTTTAAATCTGACTCTTGAAAAAGTGTGGTGAATTGTTTCCTGACAACACAATATTTATTTTATCTTCTTGAAAATTTTATGTGCAAAATAAATTTATTGATAAAGATGTTTAAAAAAAATGTTGCAGATTTATATGCCAATCTCATAATGATATGTTAAATTAATACATAATGCAAAGTTAATAAACAAAACAGCAAAACAATAATTTAATTAAGTTTTAAGTTAATTAAGATAAAAATTAGGCTGCATGCTCAACAAGGGGAGGCAAATGTCACTGCAAGCTAAAACAGTGTACCGGTGATGACAACTCTGATATCTACAGAGAGGTGTGGAGGTGGTGCTGAGCTGTTAGACCGGTCCGACTTACTGTCAGGGAAATCTATCACGGCAGGTGTAAGTACCGGCTGGGTCTCTACCTCCGGCTCAACTTCCTCTTCTGAAATTTGTTGTCATACATAATGTGCAAATACAAAGATATACATCACAAATATTTGTTTGTCACAAAAGAGGAGTGACTGAAAAATATGAACACTGTACAACATGTATGAAAGTACACAACATTTAATGATAATGTCTATTGTACATCCACTTCAAAAGAGGCAATAGAATTCTCTCATAGATAGAATATAATACTACTGTAGATAAGAATTTGAATCCAAAAGTCTCATTGCAGATAATTGATCAAAGCAGCTACTCTTCTACAGCTAAACTATGTCTCCACTTCAAAATTACATGCTCTCTAATTTTACTAGTTCAACAACTGATCTACATCTAAATAAATGTTCAGTGACACTAATTCTTACTTTTGAGATGATCCCTCTCGTCAGCACCATCCACTGTGGAGGAGGGAGACCCCGGTCGTCCTTCTGTCCCGCCCCGCCCTTCTTTACTGTGGACAGACATATAAAATACAGGTAAAGTATGGAACCATTTGTACATGCATGTATACTGAATGTTCTTAATGCTTTCACTTTTTGAATATGTTTTTGTTATAAATTTAATTCCATCACCAAATGTTAAACGCATATGATCCACTTTCGAATTCGTGCTCTTTTAAAATAAAATGTACAAATGTAGCTTTTAATATTTTTTATGATTCTCAATTGTTTGTCTTCCCATTAGAGCACCTGCATGCATTCAACCCTCATTAAAAACTTTAATCATGATGTATATGAATTACATATATTCTTTTGTTATATGAAATATAAGAGAATAAAATGAAGACTCCTATTTTCCAGATTACATAATTGTATAATATCATTCAATGGAATGTTTAATAAGTTGCTGAACAATGGAATTGCTAGAAACTTAATTGTTATACATGCAGTGTAACTTGTCTGAAATTCTGCTCATTATCCAAAATTATAAAATTCTATACAATATTTTGGCTCCATAATTTTCATGATATGTGTATATATGGTAATATAGTTTACAAGAATTTAACCAAATTATTTAGTTTTATATGTAACCATTTTATCTTAATTGTTATTAAGACAAGTTTCACTCAGATTTTCAAAATTAAAATGTTGATAGTATTTGAATGTACAATGACATCTGTCAGTCACTAAAACAAAGTAAATCATGACTTTAACAGTAGACAAAAGGTAAAAATATGGATTAAAATTATTTTACTATTTTGATATATTAATTTTCAATAAAAGTTCAAAAGTAAAAATGTGAAGTATGCCACACTCATTGGATATTCTAAAAGTGAGATAAAATAAAGACAGACACTGTGATTGGGTGATTTTACAAATAAATTCTAAAAGAGATGCTGATTGGCTATTGGCCAGAGGTTAGAAACAAAATGATTCAGATTGGGTGATTTTACAAATAAATTCTAAAAGAGATGCTGATTGGCTGCTGGCCACAGGTTAGTAACACACTGATTGGGTGATTTCACTCTGCACTCAGTGCTCACATCAAAACTTACTCTGGCTCAGGCTCAGTGGGCGGTTCTGGTGAGTCACTGTTTGACACACAAAAAGTAAGGAAGCATTATTTTCAAACAGTCACTTAATTTATACAAGTACCACTAACAACTATTACTCCTAAATCTACAAGTCCTTTTTTTTCTTTTTCAAGCAATAAGCATCGCAAACCAACTCCCTGTTTTTATTTATGTTATATTGGTTAACTAAAATAAACTTTTGCTATGAAAATAAGCTTTGACAACATTATTACAATCTTATTGTCCTATATATTATATCAGTTATTTATATCAATCATGCAATGTAAATTAATAATGTAAAATTAAATGTTTGTGAACATTTCTAATTTTTTTTTGTATCAACCTCTGATACAAATCACACACATGCATTCTATTTCTATATGCTCTGCTTATAAATGTATGAGATAAATTAAAGGCACAATCAGTACTCTGTTAGGTTTTACAACACTCTGGAATATATACAGTGTATATATCTTAAATATTGAACCACCACACAGTTGCACAGATCCTGATTCCAATATATACATCTATAAGCTTACATGAGTATTAAGCACCATATTATAATAATTGTTTGCCCTCAAAGCAACAACAGTGAATTGTTAGTGCTCACCGCAAAATCCAAAAAGTAGAAAGATTTGATTGGTTAGCTCGATCCTTTCTAAGTGAACTACAATTAACATATTATAATGATATCTGGGAGTCTTTTTAAATTTTAGTAAGTATAATATTACTGTACCTGGTAATATAAATTATACGCAACCAAACGGAAAATAGGGAATTTTCCCTGAATGTATTGTGTAAGGTTTGAATTAGTATTGAGTAATTAACATATTTAATTTTTTCTAAAAACCAGCACATTTGATGTAGTTCAGCTAAATATATATGTGCATTTATTATACTTATCACTCATAAACCACCTGGCATATATAGTATGAATATGTGCACCAAGCATTTCAGTGATGCTGGCATATATACTCGATTCTCATTATATCGCGGGTTTCATTGTATCGCGGTATATTCCAAAAGATCAGATACGTACATAGCTCATATATGCTTTTTGTTGAAAAAAATAGCAGTCTGTCATCTGAATGTAAATTTTTGTGATGATTAAAAAGTATGGAAAATGCGTCGGAAAAAAATTATTCAAATAAAACGTAATTTTACAGAAATCGATCTCCGTTTTTATTATTTTTAGCCCACTGAGTTTTTAATCTAGTAAAATCCATATAAAGTTCATGTTTTGAAAGTCTATAGTTTGTATAATTTTTTATTTCCTTATGTTAAATTACATGGTAAAATAAGAATTGAAGTCCATGTCAACCTCAAGTTTCCATGTTTTTCCATACCACGATACTATGAGACTCTCCAATTTAGGAGGTAAAATGAGACTTCCTGTTTTAAAAATAGACTACAACTTAAATGATGCAAGCTTGGGAAATAATTTGATACTAAAAAGTTAGGCCATAGTTTGCTTTATTAATATCATATGATGAAAGTTAAATTTAAAAAATCAAATTACACTTTTTTATGCAAAAGATTTAAGTACCGCGATATAATGAGACACCTGTATTCATACAAGGCCAAGGTTATGTGGTGCGTGCACTCATTGATTTGACCTATAGCTGCCATAAACTGTCAATCTGATAAAGCCAAACATATCATTATATAATCCATTGTTCCAATCAAAGACCTTGAAGCAGACCCAAATTTTATGCTGCAAGTTCTGAATCACCTGAAAAGGCCATATGTAAAATTGGGTTGGAATCTGACTGTGGTGCCTAGGCAAAGCCAAAGGTCAAGGGCATGCCTGGCCTTGATACCTCCACTGATAGAAGAAAGAAGACAAGGTCAGTTACTAAAACCACTGTACCTCAGTGTTTCATTCTGTGCCCTTAATTTGCAGACAATTGCAGTGCATATGTATTTAATGATTAAACAAATGTTTTTGATTTTAAGAGACACAATTTAAAATGACTTATTTATCATCTACAACTTGCTTTATTTTTTTTTGAATAACTCATAGCTAAATTGATACTTTCAATAATTTAAATGCAAATGTATTCCCACCATGCACTTTTAATTATGTCAACTTCCCAAATTTCTGGCCCCGGGATCCTTCCAATTTTGCCTGCTTTACTGATCAGGAGAGCAAATACTATAATCCCAATTTGAAAAATTTCACCCTAAAATTTTCAATTTTTCTATTCATAAATTCTATAAAGATCTTGTTGCATACTGCATGTGCTTTTAGATATTTGCTTGGCAAATAGCTTGGCAAATAGTCTGCACCTAAACCGTCATATTCCCTTTGACATAAACAAATATTGAACTCAATTCAATTAAAGACTACCTCTGTTCATCAACTACTTTCCTATCTGATTAATTGATACTGTATCAAGGTTATATTATATTTCTATTCTGTTATGATTATGGCTAAAATTAAGATAAGGTTAATTCAGGATACATAATATATATAAATTCCACAGATTCCAATGAAATTAATTCAGGTTATAAATTCAAAGTAAAACAATAAATGTAGAAAGGTTTCACCCTGGTATAAGAATTAGAAATGAATAAAAAAGAAATTTTAAAAGATTGTTCAAGTTAGGCTGTTAGGATATATCAAATTAAAAAGTTAATGGGTATAGAGATGAGATGAATATGTTAAGAGTTATAGAGATCAAGGGGAGGTAAATCACACGGGAAAACTCAAACTTACGGCTCTTTTATGTCATTCACAATAGAATTAACTAGATCTTCCTGGGCTAAGCTGTTGCAAAATAAGCATAAAACTTACATTTACATTTCAGTTTATTTATGAATAACTTGCGATCAACTTTTTATTTTCAATGAAAATTTACTGGACTGGTATATAAAGTGACTTATCAAAAATTTTTTGTAATAATAGAGTTGAAATTAAAAATTTATTTAATTTACCAAAAATTGAATAAATACATCAGGCAGTGTTCATTTCATATTGTTGTTCAAATTCAAAGTTGTCATGTTAATGCAAATTTTAAAATATAGTACTCACACCTCCCTCATGATAAAATAAATTATCAAAAATATTCAAAGTCAAAAAGAATATCTTTAATTGAACATCACACTCTGGTCTTTTCCGATAAATCCAAACCGAGTACACACACAGATTGAGAAATAATTGGATAAATAGAAAGTACGTTTTTCATGGACACACACAGGAATTACATCAATTTAAATGAATAGGGGGTCACAACAAAAACAATTATCTAAGTTTACAAAGAAATTGATTTTCTACCTGACTGGTTTACCTGCTTAGGTAATACTGAATTTCTTTTGGGAATTGAGAATTTCAAAGAATCTTAGTGATTAGGCCTACAACTTTTGAACTTGAGTATTAGCTTTAGCAACAAAAACTGACACATTGCATGAAAAGTCAAATATTTAAAGTTAAGCAAGAAAAGATTTTGTCAATTCATGATATTTTTTAGATCCCCAGAAATGATAAAGAAACTATTAGACAAAATTCAGATGCTTTTTGTATGGTATTGACTATATATTTATCGACTATTTAAAAGCATAATTTTTTTTTTACATAAAATATTTCAAAGATTCATTTTTACATTTTATTTTCATTGAATTACATTTGTCAATTCATAATTTTTTAACTGCATATTATTGTATAATTAATCAATATATACTGTACAAAATTAACAAAGCCCATATATTCCTTCAAGCAGACTAAAGGGATTAAAAGACACTCATCTAGAAAAATCTAACCCAGCAGTAAAGAACTATACATACTACTTATAGCCAGATATGTTTATACAGATCTATAATCTTAGGATAAACTTTTTTAAAGGTTGAACAGCTGTAGTTGAGAAATCTTAAAGTAATGGATGGATTAATATATTTAACACCCAATGTCTAACCCAACATTTGTGACATTGGAATTTTAAAAGGTGTGTCCAACTTTCCCTACCTACATGTATTTAAAAATGCAGTATACATTGTAATATGCTATAAATATTGCTATGCACCAAATTCTTAGTTTGATTATTATCCATTCCCATCCCTAATTAAATACTGGAAAGTAGTTGACATACATAATGTACTTAGTTTATAAATCTCTGTATTAAAAACAACACATTAGAATGAAATCTAATAAAAATTCCTTTCCGGATTATCACCAAACAATGAATGTACAAGCAAAAGTAGTTCAGAATAATATTTATGAATTTTACCTGGACTTTCTGGAATTTTTAGGTCTATATTAAACGACAGCATTAATAAGATCAATAATTTTCAAACTAATAAAGCAGCATTTCATTCAACAGGCCTATAAACAATTTATAATAGAGAATCCCCTAAGGCTAGGTGTTTAATAAATTAAGGCTGTACCTTGCGTTGCTGTGTTTGCGCCACCTAGTGAGCAGGTGCCCCTGTTGTCGGTAGTAACTGTACTCGGAACTCTCCGATTTATCCTCCTCATCTCGGTGGTGAAGCTCCTTCTGTCTCACAATGTCACAGAACTTAGGGCGGACACCCCTACTTAACTGTTTGGAGAAAACAAAAACATCCTTAATGAAACATTAATGCTAAATTATATCCATACAGTCCTTATCTGAAATTTCTACTCATTTACTACATGCGCATGAGTTAGTGTTCACTTCAAAAATACTCGTAAAGAAATTTTGGAATATATTTTCATTTTATAATTACCATTAATAATGTGATATGGTATGAAAATTCTTGCAAATTAATTAGACTAAGTATACTCACATAATTTGCTCTTGAGTAGGTGAGTAGCTCTTTCCTCTACAAGAAAATTAATAGAAAGGAAGTTATAAACACTGTAAAATATTAGTAGAACATCATATCTACATGTATATACAGAACAACCACCCCTTTTTTTCTATTTTGCAACAAATATCTATAAAATATCTGCATTAATATCTTATACATATATGTATTTTCTACAGTGCATGACAACATCCGAAGCTCATGCAGTGTCTTCACACGACAGGTGACAAGATAAGACAAAGCATAGGCATCGGAAGCAAATTGAAAGTGGGTGGCTAATTGAAAGGGGAGCTAAACCAACAAAAAAAGTTAAAAAAAAAAACAATTTTCAATGCCTATATTACGATAAGACGCCTTTGCAAAGTCTTAAGGAAACAGTACACGTAGACTGAACTGTTAAGTTTATGCTGTCTTGAATAACTTTTAATTAAAGATTAAAAGACTTAGAGCATTGGTAATTTAAAGAATAGAAGAGTATCAGATGATGGAAAGACGTTGGGTGCCCTTGTATCTATTTATAGTACAGCAATATACAGCCAAAAAATCTCCTCCTGAAAAAGTATTTAAAACCTACACGAGGCTTGATAAACTTTATGGGTATTTTTATGTTTGAATAAAAAATGGTAGTTTACTGCAGCTATGCAACTATCAAAATCTAGACAAAAATCTCTGGATCTATCAAATACATCGCTGATTTATGAAAGGCGATTACTGCCATTATCAGATTTTTCCCTTTATACGTGAACAGATACACACAAGGAGCTAGCCATTTATTGTGTTTTATGACTATTCATCTGTATCTTTTTATCGCCAGTACTTATCTATGCAGAAAAACAACGACCTCGCCACCCACTATTTACTATGTTAGGATTTTGGCAGAAGACACGAGGCTCTTCTTTATTTCCAAAAAGAATTATTGACACTGAGCCTCTTGTGAACTATATACTTATTTACAAGCAGATATCCTTCTTTGTTTGTAATCAGTTTTCTTTAATATTCTTTTGTGATTTAATCTTTATGACTTGCATATTTAGTTGTAAACATGCCACGATATCGTGTAAATACAAATAGGTTTTTAATTCATTGATTGCCAGCAAATCTTCTTATTCTTTATTGGAATTATAAATATAATCTATGCAACCTTCTCTATTAATTAGTACAATATTTCCTTATTTAAACCAGAACGGTACGTATTTAAGGAGAGGTACAGTTAATATGAAAAAAAATGTTGAAAAATAACTCGGACTGAGTTCGGTATTCAATAAGGAAAATCGAAAATTGGGAGTTGATTCCACAAAGTTTTAAACATTCTGCATGCATATCAAATACCATGGCATAATCAGCTTACTCTTGAAGGTTGCTCAGAACGCCCGCCGTCAATGGCTAGGTTCCGACTATGTCAGATTTTGAATTTCTATACTGCAATTAAGATGTTTGAGATCAAGGTTTGAATGTAACCTACCGTTAAGGGAGAGGATCGAGGGCGGTGATAGTTTATATATCTTTGGGGCTGATTCGTCGATTTAGGGTCATTATGATAAAACGATAATCGGGACGTGTTCGATAGGGCCGACACCGGTCGTGAGTACGATTCACAAGGATGTTCATCACAAGCTGTCTGAGGTCTGTCGTACAATAAGTGTCCATGCATATGACTATATCCGTAACATCGGGAATGGCGGTCAAAGTATCGAAAGTCAGGATCTGGACTTGCTGGATGTAAATTTATATTTTTGCTCTCTTTCATATGTTCGTAGAGTTTATTGACGAGTGTGAAGCCCGTGCGCATCTCATTAAACTTCTTTGAACTGAGCCTGCTTGAGCCCGCACTTCCCACCCGATATGAGGAGGAACTTGAGGGTCTGGGTAGCATGGGGGACGATGCCCTCGACGCTGATATAGCTTTCTGGGAGTAAGGGCTGACATATTCGGCCCTCGGGGGCGCAGTTCCAGGTCTCTGAATAACAACATTCTTTCTCGAATGGGTTGCACTCCTAATTCTTTTCTGTCCCTGGAAAGGTTCAGGAGTAACAATTCTTAATTCTGCAAAGGTATCTGTCTTTTCTTCCGGCAATAGGGCAAAACTGTCCGATTCACAAGGGCGAATATCGTCATCTGTCTTGGCATCGTCCGCGAAGAGTTTGTGTTTGTAGCCCTCTGCTACCCAGGCCATCAACCGTTCATCATTTCCGAACACCATGATGACAACGAAATAAACTCCAATACACTCCTTTAGAAAATCACAAAAATCAGACGAAAATTCATTAATATATTTTATCCCATGACCATCACATAATGAAAGAAAAATACGCCATAACGTTTGTTACAGCTTGCATCTTTAAAAAAAGGAATGGCACTGGAATCTAAAAACACATAATACCAACAATGATAATTTCTACGCGCGCCACAATCAATAAATCAGGACTAGTCACAAAGGCACAGCAATTTAAAGGGAATATATCTAATTATTCCACTCAAAGGTCTATCAAAATATATTCCACTCAATACACCAGACTATGGAGATTGTCCATGCCTCTTCACATCCTTACGACACAACAGAACAATGTCGAGAGAGGACAAACAAGGATACACCACACGAACTATAGGCCGCCACAAAATTAGTCCCCGCTAACTTTCACGGGTTGTTTGTGTCCAAATTGGCATTGCAACCTTTCCAAATAAAAGTCCTTGTAAATGAATGGCACAGTCCTCTATAATAGTCTTTGAATATCAAAAGGCTTTTTAATATCCATTTCTAATCCCTTTCACCTCAATGGCTATGTTTTTAATAATATAAAATTTCAGATCTACACATGTTCATACGGTTGATAAACTTTTTTTTATCAACTCATGCTTTAAGTCCTTAAACCATTTCTTCTAATCCTAATCAATTATTGATACACCGTACCTTTGACGCAATGCATAAACAGAGCACATGGAGCACTTTTACTCGATCTATTATGTTTGTATAGAGGATCCAAAATCTTGAGTCATATTAAAAATATTTGTTCAAAAAGATATAGTTCCTATTGTTGGAATGAAAGAGTGGAATATAAAAAGGAATCTCTATGGTTGTCGTATGGAAGTTCATAAATGTATAAAGGATTTTCTGAAGGGCATGAGTTAATAATTCCCTTTAAATATAAAACTTATACAAGATAAAGTTTATTACTGTCATATTGTTTGCCATTGAGGTTCAGATTTTAGACCCTTTCAGTAGGGCGTGGTATAAACTCCCACACAAAGACCTCAACACTAGGGATTCCTTTTCATTTAGAGCCCTTCTGAGATAACTTGCATATGTTTGCTTATAAATGCACAATATCGTGTCTTGTATGATGATAGGCAATTTAGTGTATCATAACTGAAAAGTTTAAGAGTTCGTAGTGGACTTTGAAAATATGACACCATCAAAGTTATTAAATAGTAAAGTTTCATTTTCAGTTTTCAAACTGTATATATTTTCCCAGACAGACAGGCATCACCAATAACGTAAAAATCTTTGGTAAGAGGCCAATGGGCCACAGCGCTCACCAGAGTAACTTTGGCCCTGCTGTTCTTCTCCAGACCCCCCCCCCCCCCTTGTGGCCCTATCCTACCCCCGAGGTCACAATTTCAATAAGTTTAAGAATCTACTCTATTCAAGGATGCTTCCATTTAAGTTTCATCTGTATGGGCCTTCCAGTGGTTCTTGACAAGAAGATATATTTAATGACGCCATCCTCTATTTTTGCATTTCCTTGATTATCTCCCCTGGAAGGGGACTTGGCTCTTTGTTTTATAAATAAACAATTTAGAAACTATATCACCCAGGGATTCAACAAGTGTCTGTACCTGAATATCCTCCTCTACACCTTGGATAAATATTACAAAACAGTACCTACATTACACTGTCAAAGTTATACAATGATATCATCGAAAAAATGGACCTTCGCGATAGAATCTGAATCCAGACGGGCATTGCAACAATAAAGGGCAGGTGTTGCTAAGTAGGCACGTGTTTTATAGAACTCGAGTGCTCAAGAAATCTAGACCCTAAATACTATCGTGTTTGACCTGTCATTTAAATCACCACCCCGACACGGAAACAATGGGTGGCCCTATATATTTTGTTCTGTTCTCTATCACTTGTTAGTCCTTGTGTGGTAAAGACAATGGCTTTTAGTGGTTCAGTTAAAATACCTTTGTCTCCGATCAAGCTGTATGTAATGTTTGAACTGAGATAAGCAAAGTTTATTTCAAATATTTACAGAAAAGTCATGCTGCACAACAAATTTACTTTTATGCATTTTTTTTTACTTCTTCTTTTCTTTCCTTTAACAGATGGAACTTTCCCACTGCAACGCATGCAGTCGTACCAAGTACAGAAATGTGAATAACATAATCTTGGTTTTCCCAATTTCCTTTAATTTGACAGTTGTTTTTTTTTTTATTATTTCAATGTACCTTTTTTATGGTCCTGTAATCAAAGATTCGGTTCATATATTCGTATGTTTTGCTCTGTCCGTCTAGCTGTATGTTTGTCTGCAAAACCCAATAGATTTTGACTAGTTGGAGCAATTATACTAATATATTTCACATATGTATGTATTCCTTTGTGACACTACCTTTCTTTGAGTATCAACAGTTTTGAGTTTGATCCATTTTGCAAAATTTCACCAATTTTTTTAACTCTGGCTAAAATATCTATACGGTTGGTGCATGAGCAAGATAATTTGGATGAAAATTGGAACAGAAGATGGAAACCTCCCCCAACCCCTTCAACGAAATAGGATTTGTCGAGAATGGACAGTAATACCTTTTGTCATTTTTTTAAATAACTTGATTTTTTTTCTCACCCCCCCCCCCCCCCGAACTTTCAATTAATGCTACGAGCTGCTTTTAAAGTAGTTTGGGGCAAAATTTTCGAAAGTTAGACTAAGGTTTTCTATTCTCACAGGTGTATTCATTGTGACAAGGCCTTTCTTTACAAAATCCTAAAATAGTTTGTTCACTTTCTCTCCATCACCCACGAG